CTGCGACTGCCTGTTTAACTCTCTAATCCACCGAACGTGGGGGAGTAAATCCGATGGCTGTTACGCAACAGCTGTGCAACACAGTCCAACATTGTCTCCACAGGTGTGCCAGCGAGTACAACACACCATACACGCCCATCCCAGAGTCTAATCGTTCGGTTTGCATTCTGTCTTTAAAGTTTAGTCGTAAGGGTGAGATGCAAGAACTGCTTTAGTAAACAGTGCCGAACCTTGTCCGGTCCAATACCACCTACACCTACATTGTAGGACGTAGGTGGTGTCCATTTATGTTCCACAACGTACGCAGTTGGCCGCATTCGGTCGTCGTGGGTAAGTATTCGGTAACAATCCATATGCCTTCGAACATGGAACATGTTCCAGAAAAAATTAACAGGCCTAATTAAAGACAAAACCGCAACAGGTGATGTTGAAACTTGAAATTTTGCTACCTAACTCAACTCAGCCATTTCTTACACCATTTACGTCAATTGCAAATCCCTAAAAATGGACCTTTTGGTACGAAGCTGACGTTTGAACATTCGTGACTACATTGCGACACCCATAATTATCAATCGCCCTACGAAATGCGTGCTGTTATGTATGGCAGCGTATACCCGTAGGAGATTAAAACGGATGTTGTAAAAATAGAATCGTGCACCTCATCCGACGACTTTTTCAAGAACAATCCGCTATCTCTGGTGACTTAGTCAGCATTTGAATGATTGAAGTTCTTTTCGGTATTCATATGCAAGAATTAAGCAGTCATAGTGTTGTCAGCTGCGCTTCTGTCTGCGTCACTTTCGACCAAGGCTCTATAGAACTTTCGACGCTGTCTCTTTCGCAGCAGGAGGACGGCTGCTGTGTAGGAGGGCTCTTCTCTTTTTCTTTTTCGACTTTGTCGTGATTATGAAAAATGAAGTAGGTAGGTACTCATGGGTCTCGCCACTATGCTTCTATTTGTTTATTTCATATCTTATAGAAATTAGAATTGCGTTATGCGTTACTATAACGAAATTCTAATTCTACTCTATAGAGTAGAATTAGAATATATTGTCAGTACCACTAACAGGCATTCCAGTTTCCTCTTAATTGGCGTTGACAGAAGTTTTCGCGTCCCAATCAAAATAATGCCAAGATTATTGGTAGCTTGATAGAACCATTAACACTCAGTGCATGATGACAGCAACAGATGGGCTGACGCCGATCAAATGTCCATTCCTTGGCGATTCCCGACGTCTCTTGTCGTCCGACATGCCAAGACATTTTAAAAATGTCGCAACAACCAGACATCACGACACACAATCTCGTGGACTCTCATGTGCACTCTGCACCGAACCAATGGGAGGACATTGGCGGCCGATCTATGCACTGGCAGCCATGCAGTTCTCTCTCGTTTGACCTCGGTCCTTGCATGGGACACAGCGGGCCATGCTAATCTGTCCCACTCACGCCGTGTTTGTTCGCAGAAGGAGGCGCCCCGAGGTCGTGGCGAGACACTGAGCCATTGGTCCACCCTCCGAGACATTGCAGCGAGCCATCGCACATGATACGGCCGCCGGTTGACGAAACCGAGCCGCTACCCGCTGGTTGACCGGTCAGCGGGGTTTCCAAGTACAGAACGGTTAACATCGAATGGCACCGGTAGCGCAACGATGCTGAAAGCTGCATGGATGAGGCGATCGCTGGTGGTTACAGTCCAGGGAGCAACCATTACAGCTTGCAGGCACGTGGAGAAATGTTGCAACTTCCTGAGCTTTTTGTGAATATCTGAATTGTGAAACGGAATGAACGGATCTGACTCATTGTTAGCACTTCAGTTAGTTTTAAGAGAGAGAGAGAGAGAGAGAGAGAGAGAGAGAGAGAGAGAGAGAGAGAGAGAGAGAGAGAGAGAAAGAAAGAAAGAAAGAGAGAGGAGGAGGAGGAGGAGGAGAGAGAAACGAGAATGGAATACAATAATTTATTGGGTATCTACTCCTTTTGGTCTGGTATTCGAATTTTTGTTCCTTTTGTACTTGGCTAAATAATGTTTTCATATTCTTTACATTTGTACAACAGCACATTCACATCAAACCTACATGGAGTACCATGGGGATGAATGCAAAACACCATCTAATGTTTTCATTTTATGGACCAAAATAAGCTTAGAGCTTGAGTGTGTGTGTATGTATTTTTTTTTTTTAATAGTATAATCGCCAACAAGATGGCTGCTGGATTTTCATGACCCTGAATCAGATAAAAGGGCGACGGTTATACACTATAGCCCTCAATCTCTGATGCACCTTTCTCAAAAGAGCGCTGCTGATTGCACAGGACCAATGTCAGGCAAACGCCTTAGCTGCTAGCCATTTTCAAGCACGTCCAGTTTCCACCCTTTTGGAAGCTAGCGTTATGCTTAGTGAATGAAACGAGCATACGAGTATAGCATTATCTCAACCCTTCTCTTGATCGGGATGAGCCAAAAGTCGTCTGACGGGCGGGGAACCGCAAACCACTAGTCTCTTATCATGGTTTGCAGGACAGCCAGGTTAATAAGTCCTAAGTCATCTTTATTATGAAGCACAGAGCAGCTTTTCAAAACCGGCTAAGGCCACTAGGCACGTATGCTTGCTTAATTGTAGCACTTTCAAAAATCAATGTCGGAATTTATGTGTTAACTCGTCTTACGTCTAAACCATACTTTTTGAAACTGAAAGTGCACCCTAAAGATTAAGGAACAGGTACAGACTAACTGTGTGTTTTATTCGACATTCTAATTCTGAACAAGGGAAATGCAGAGTCCCTTCACCAACAATAGCCCCGACCAGACGCCTGAACAAATGAGCTAGGCTGAACAAGCAGAATGACCAACTCTCTGCTGCTCCCATTGGTAGCTACTCCCTCCTCTCCTCTGGTTTAGCCTCAATGCCCTGTGGATTGGCTCCCACCGTTCAGGCAAGGGACTGTGTGAGCGCTCTCCGGAATAGAGGTCAGGTCGGGCGCTCAGTCCACCAGTCTGCCCCCAGACGGCATATCCAGCTCTGACCCGCAGCGTTCTGGCCACACTGCAGTGTGCACTGGTTTGGGGATAACCTCGAAAACCCGGTTCAGAGGTGACTTTCAAAATGTTTAGGGCAGGGTAGTGATAGAGACGTGATGTTACTTTAACCCTCGCCCGCATATGCCATTTTCCCATCCTAGAACGCACATGGGGGGGGGGGGTTGCCACCCCCCCCCCCCCGCGCCATTTCGTTCCTGTTGGAGATAGAGCTTCGCGGTAAAGACCAAAAAAGATTCTTTGGGAAGAGACAAATCCAATGATACCCAGTTTTACCTTCTCAGGTCAGTCATTGACCTTCCAGGTCAGGTCAAACTAAAAATATTGCTGTTTTGGGTCACCGTTGGATATCAAGTGCGCTGCTTAGTGCTTATCATATACCGATGACGATGCCGTTTTCTGGTGCCAAGCCAGCTAGAACCTCTTTATCACACTACCCGACCAGATTTTTGCTGCTGAGGTCATTTCAGGTCAAGTTAGGTCAAGGTCAATTATATGTGTTTGTATGTTTGTGTGTGTCTGTGTGTATATTGATGTGTGCACCGAGTGTTTATGTGTCCATATTACATGAAATCATGATCTGAGAAGCTTTTACCAAAAATGCAGTCAAAAAAAATTCACGAAAAGTAAATTCAGCTTGCCTAAAACGTAATTATGTTAGATGACCTAGGTTGACCTTGACCCTGACCTTGACATCTGTACATCGTCGAACAACATGTTTCATGATAGGTGAGAGGTAAGACTGGCAAAAAAAGGCCGAAAGCAAGGTGTCAAAAGCTCACAAGGCCCATAGCCAACGCAAGATGTTGAGAATTGGTCATTTGGGTCGTGACATGACCTGAAAAACAAGGTCATATCTCCGAAACCAAAAACCACAGAAACTTGAATTTTTCAGTGGACATCAAGAAAGGATAGAGGAGCAGCTATACACGAAAAATCAGGCTTCTAGCTCTAAAAATGTTGAGTGCAGAGCAGAAAGACTGCCTGGGGGGGGTGTGTGGCAACCACACCCCCCCCCCCCATGTGCGGGCGAGGGTTAAGAACGGCCAGGCGGCCAGTCACCAGGCTGCAGAATCAGAGCGGTAATGGTATACCTATTCCTGCACGACCTTAGCACATTCCCTAAACTCTTCAGTGGTCGATGATTAACTTTCAAGTTGATCTATCCTTGCCAGTGGATCGTATAGAATACTAAATGCAAGCTTATGTGTGTCTGTGTGTGTGTGGGGAGGGGGGGGGGGAAGAGTACAAAAAATATCTCATTAACCTCACCGCTTGCTAATATCTTAATTAAATGAAGTATTAAATGTAGTACCGCTAATATCCACCGAATGACGAGCAGTAAAGGGTGGCTCGAAAGAAAGTGAAACTTACGAAACCCTTTCTGATTTATTTTTTTTTTTGTCGTTCGGTTAAATGCTTAGGTAATCATATAGGCTGTCAAGAGTGTTTGTTCCCTATATTGTTAACAAACAGGGATTATCTCGCCTATAAGCAGAACATTCGATAGCAAGCGTTCATAGCCTTTGAAAAGCCAAACTTTGTTATGCCATCGTTTCCACGACACCTCATTGGCATTTGAACTCCTAATTTTTAGTCATTTCTGGATATTTAGAACTGATATGCATAAATATTTCCTCTTTTTTTGCGACTGCTGAAAACGACTTTGTAAAGAAGCAGAACAATTGAAATGGTAATTTTTGACTTTGATGAAAATTATTTTTGATCAAAAGCGCGTCATCATGACCGACTGATGACCAAAATGACCTACTCTGACCACAAACGCATTAAAGCGAACAGCGGATTGCGGCCACGTTTTCAGCTAAAATGTCAACTACATAACATTGATGTCCTCTGATATTATCGACACTTTATCGCACTCGTGTACCATTCACAATCACATTGTAGTGGCTGTACTGGCTGACCATAACCTTCAAACCTCGACGTTGCTGCACAATTTACCGTCTCGAGGTGGCGTATACGGTCAGTCGCGTGCAAACCCTGGGGTACGTGGCCGGGCAGGAAGCGCAAACGGCGGGCGAATCGAGGCCGCCATCGCTTCTACCTGCCACGTCTTCACGCGAACAACTGCGGAAAGCGGGGCTCCGTGCACTGTCGAGGAAAGAAGCCCTGTCAGTTGGCAGGGGACGCTCGTCAGTGGCAGGACGCAGGCAGCGACAGTGCAGCTGCAGCTATGCGCAAAATTAGGGCCTCGTCGACGGGCGCCGTCAAGACGGCAATGTGCCTGCTCGTCATCGTGGTGCTGTGTAAGGTGAGATAACCGGTCTGGGGATTGTCAACAACATCCGCGTCTCAGTCGCACCCGAGTTTTTGTCGACGGTAAATAAAAGGTGCGTCTAGTTTAACCCTCGCCCCGTTGGGGGGGGGCCATTTTGGCCCCCCCCTGTGGTTTTTCCTGAATAGCAAGAAAACGGCGGCGCGCAGCGCCGCCAAATTTTCAGTACCTTCCCGGGCATCAATTTGACACCTTCACACAAAATTTCAAGTCTTAGGTCACCTTAGGTCAGGAGTTATTGAGGTCAAACTGAGGTCATGTTCGAGCAAAAATGAGCAAAAAACATGCAATCTTGAAACGCTCGCCAAATCTACAGTTATCAAGCCATTTCAAAGTTCTTTATATGGTCTAGTAGACAAAAAGCGGCGCTACAAAACTGCTATCTCGGATTTTCAAAATTTTGGGTTTTTGATCCCCAAAAATTCAAAAAATTGATTTTTTTTAGAAAAACTATAAAAAAATCCCAAATTTTTCCGAATTTCGAAAAAACCGGAATATATGTGATAGTCCCTGCGCTCTTCTATATACATACCAAATTTCAGATCGATATCTCGTTTTTTGGCCAAGTTATAGCGAAAAAACTGTTCAAAAATGATGACGTCAAATTTTTGAACTCAATTTTTAGTGATTCTAGACCACGTACGGCAAAACAAAGACCACCATTGAACTCCCCGTGACGAGCTGCATCGATTCGATACCCATTTTATGCAAAAATATCAACTTTGAAATTTGACCTAATTTGACCTGACCTTGACCTGACCTTGACCTGACCTTGACCAAAACGTGACCTAGGCTGGCCCCAAAGGCTGCCTGACCCACATAATCGCATTTGTCATGTGAAATGGACCATAAAACATGTATCACACGACACTTTCATATTGTGACCCCCCAGTGACCTGACCTCTGTGACCTGACCTGGTATCAGTGACCTCAAATAGCAAAATATGTGTTTGAAGAACATTTCCCCATCGATGATTTTCAATGAAATGCATTTTACTCGATTTTACAACGCATTTCTTGAAATGCCTGTAAACGGTGAAAATTTGACCTTTGACCTGACCTGTGACGTCATCGGTTTGACCTAGGTCAATAAAATTGGGTCACAAGGTAGTTCCCTGATAGGGCTATCCAACACCGTTTGACGCTTGTCGCTAGGTTGCGTGGTTCTCGAGATCTTAGGGGGGGGGGGCCAAAATGCCCCCCCCCCCAACGGGGCGCGTTGCTCGGCAGAGCCCAACGGGGCGCGGGTTAATCAAGCTTAGACATTCTTGGAGCTTTAAAGTCTTTTGCTTCCTCGTTAGGAGCTGAAGACGCAGGATCGCAATTAATGTGCTCCTTGAAAATGAAAGGCGCATTGAGCCTCATCAGATGCTTATATTTTGAGCGTAATATATTTTGGAATGTTTACCATCAAATCATAATAATTTGTAAAAGAAAATATAACGTACCGGTTTCTATTTGTCTAAGCCTAGCCATGACAAGTGAATAACCTGTAAATTATAATACAGCTTAGTATAACAAAGCATAACACTAACGTTATAACCAACATACAACATTCACTAACAAATCAGCACTCTGCTTATCACCCAGGCCCTTCCTTCCAGCGTGGACTGCAGCCACCAACATATGTCCTTTCGGCTCAAATTCCAGAATAATGCGCTCAGCACCAGCGCCGGCAAACCGGTCCCCTGGCCTGCGGCGGGACGAGCCGGCTGCTAACCTTGGCAACGTGGCTTGTTGGCCCGGTTTGACGGAAAAATCCCGCCTGCGCTCCTGTTTTCCTTGTGCTTCCCTGCGCATCGCACCCGGTCAAGGCCAAGTCCTATATTCACAGCTTTATGCAGAACTGTGCGCTCCATGAAGCAAACGACAATTTGGTTAACTTGGAGTAGATAATCCTTTTTTTATCCAAATCTTATATATGGCCTAGTCGTGGCAGCATGATACCCATTACAGTAGTTATAAAACATATTCATCCATTACAGTATAAAACACATGACAATCTAAAACAGCACTGGTGTGTGTCAGAAATATTATCTTCTTTTTTACCTTCAATGCCCAATTACCCATACATCACACAGGTATTCCCGGTGGACTAGCAGTTACATAGGCAATGCATACTCTGACTCTGCTTTCTTGGCATTTGGCAGGCAGCTGGCATAACTAGATGACAGATTATTGATTCGTCTTTGAACAAATTGAGTTAGTGACCGTTTGGAACAATGCGATTGCTAGCAGCTGTTAGTGTTAGCTAATTACCGCAATAAAATATCTTATCGTTTCATCAAAATTTTTAATATACCTGTAAGCCCTGCAATAAAGTTGCTAACACAGAGTGGCTCTCTCGAAATTCTAGTCATCTGGGAGGCGCTAATAGCAGTGATTCTCGTAACTTAAGCTTGTTCTACATTTGACACTCGCGATGAAAGTAAAAGTTAGAGTTACGACATCTGACTAATGACTAATCCATTTTTGTTCTGTTTATTTCAGCTCGTTCCACTCATAAGCAAGTTCTGGTAACTGATCACGATGCCCTCGGAACATGGGACATTTCTCGGTGGCCGGTCGGCAAAATTTGACAGGTTAGGAATACCAAATCACATTGTGCATGGTCCACTTATGGTGCAAAAAAGTAAATGAATAATAACTTATAGATAGTAAAAAGTCAAACCACAACCTAATTTTCCGATTTATCATGCTGGATTTTTTATTGATGGTTAAGCAGAATTCGAGCATGTCACCGGTCTTTTAAAACAATCAATTTGCACTATATCATTCAAGAGTTCCCATCCTCTACGGCAAACAAAGTACTCACCATGATGTTCAGCTTCATAATCGTTTTGAGCTCATCTGTAACGCTTGGCAATTAAACTTGTCAAAATATAATAGTTTTCCTAAATGTATATATATATATATAATAGACGCCTCTCTCTACTATCTAACTCGTTAACTGTTTATCGTGTTCAAAGATGATCGCAAATAAAAAGGTGTTTGCAAACGTTGAAAGCATGAAGTACAGAAGAATGTCCAAACTGGCTTGTAAAAGTTCCCTTCACCGTTGCCACTCTTTTGTGCTCACGGAACTGACTCTCCCTCTCGTCTTCACAGATGGACCTGTGGACCCGTCTTCTGTTCCCGAACGGCACCGATTTCCTCTGGGAGTCGAGCACCAAGGTGGCCGACGCGCCGGACGTGGACACCCTGATGCCCCGCCCCCTCACCGGCGGCTTCTGCCAGCGTGGCGAGGAGTGGGCCACGCCAGACATACTGGCCCACGCCGTGGGGAAGGGACCGGTCACGGAGCGCGCCGGCCAGAGCACCGTGTTCCGGCGGGACGGCCGCGTGAAACGGCGCCGACTGGGTCTCTACTCGGCCAGCCGCACGCCCAGCGGACTCTGCTGAGAATGTACAGCGGACTCTGCTGAGAGCGCACGGCGGACTCTGCTGAGGACGGTACACGAACTCTGCTGAGAACATACAGTGGACTATGCTGAGAAAGCACAGCGTACTGAGCTAAGAACCGTACACGAGTCAACCAGTCTGCTTGTATTTGGCTCAGCGGTCGTGAATGATTCGAACGCGAGCAAATGGAACCAAATCCGGGCAAGGTGCAAGGTGAAAATTGTAAAACGGTATTTGCAAATGATTGGCGGGATGTATGGCATTAGTATAATTGGGTAAAGTCCTGCCTTTTTAGAGGCTTGGATTCAAGTGTGCGTGTATTTCGCTTTAGTTGTGTTCTTAGAAAGACGTCCAACATAAAGCTGAACGTCAAGGAACTCGCGCAGTGTTGGCGATGCAGGCAATGGTGATAAACACTGCATATCATGTCCGAATCCTTTGTAAATAAATGGCCAATTGTCTTGTAGTTTCTGTTGGTTATGTGATAAAACACCGATAAATATTTACAATGATATAAGCCCGGTTTCATGGGCACCTGTGATCCGGATCAGCAAAAGTAGATTAGCTAATCCATTATACTTAGTACATTTATGAAAATTAGAATAAGGGATTAACTGATTATATAAGCCTAATCCGCTCTGAATTATACCCTGTAACGAAGAGTTCGAGGAATATTATACGATTTATATTTGCTGATCCGGATCACGAGTGCCCATGGAAACGCGGTCATAGTTGCATTTCTGTATTTCTTCAGAGTTATAACATTTGGGAGATGTTTTGAAATTCCCTGCGAAAGATGCAAAGCAAATTGATTGGGATGGTATGTGCAAATGAGAAATGTACAGACACACGAACAGCCTTTATGAACTCGTTAAATTGTGACCTCAGCACAGATACCTACAGTTGTTAGTTATATTGTTGAGGTCCAACTTTGAAACCACGTTTTAGATATCGCAGCTGTGCATTCACTTTTCATTCAGAAATCCCACTTTTTCTGATATTTTTTGGCACTCAATCCAAATATGGCTCATTACATATCGCGTAAAAAGCCATATTCTAATAATTATCTAGCCAATCTCTTTGATAAACGAACTTAGATGATAATGCCTATTTATATTTACTGGCTATTTAGGTATGTTTTCATTTGAACGTTGGAGCGAAACTAGACAGCTTATTGAGAAATGCGTAACCAATCGTGTGATATATAGCCATCTAAATACGTATAGATAATGTAAACAGTGGTAGAAGGAAAAGATAATTTGAGTTTCATGTAAAGTGCAATGGCATATCTTCATGACACGAAGTGTATGTATAAATGCACTCACAAGTGCCTGAATTCAATGATAACAGGTATCTTGGTATGTTTTGGTCGCGTCACACTGCTTCCTTGCCCCTCTGACGTTTTATGGCCACAGGTTTATGGCCGGAGCAGAGATAGAGCAGGTGCCACAGTGGATGGGAACAGACCAGGGACCAATGGAGAGGCGACACCATATGTGTCGCATAAATCCAATGGGAAATGCCGAGTTTATGTCGATTGATTCCAAACACCAACGTCCACCTCGATCACACTGTAACTGATGTTAGCTCACTGAATGAGCATCAAAGCTGCCACACTTAGTCCGAGTTCTTCATGCATATGGAATATGGATACTTGCCCTTTTGTGAGACTCAAATCGTCGCGATTCGGTGCGTTAGGCGGCACGGGTGGACATCGATAGCAGCGCCTCTATCGGTCACTAGGGAAAGCTGGGCTGTAGGCGACGAAATACCGGCTGAGTTGTCACACGTTGAATAGGTTTATAGACATCCGTCTTGTGAAAAAGTTGAACTTTTGCCTTCAATATTTCTACAGGCAATTTTAGAAGTGTCTTTACATAGATAACAAAACCGTTTCGATTATTGTATTCACTTCAAGCCTCCCCTATTGTTCTTGACGATGATGCAGGAACTATTTCTAATTAGAGTTTCTAGCTTAGTAAAAGAACATATTGTGCAAACGATGGAAAAAGCATAAATGGAAGATTTTAAATGCAATTTTCTCTAACAATTAATGGTAAATTCTATGCATATCAAGGAAAAGGCGCATCATAACTGATAATTTAAAGTTCTTGGGGCCAGTTGCTTTCTTCTTTTCTTACGTCGCCCCAATGGCCGCGAATACACCTGTGATAACGCCTATCGGTGATTCGTGACTCGTCTTGATCTTATACCTACTCGTCGTAACCACTAGGCATTCAGTATTTTCTTTCTTAGAAACATTTTTCAACAACCGTCTTGAATCATTTTCGATTTCTATGCTTTGCCAAATGGATTATTTTGATCTAATAGCATAAGTGAATAGCCTAACCCTGCGCGGTGCAGACCCCCTTTCTCTGTTCACCCTGCAATAATTGAACAGACGTTCTCTGAAGTTAATACTAAATATTCCTATGTCATATGTGCGTTACAAAGCAGCACTTTACTCTGGTTGCCAGCGACCATTCATCATTGTCTTACCGTTCTTATCTCCTGTTTTCCGGTCTGCGTCTGTCACATTGTTTACTTTCCATCTTGTCTTGCAAAGACCAAATAATTAAAGCTCTGAGAAGCTATCGAAGCTGCTTATTGCGTTCTGCAGGAGATGAATGATAGCTAAACTCACTTCAAGCTTAATTGCTGACCATTGAAACGCGCATCATTCAGGAGGCATTCCATTCAGCATTCAATTATTCAGCAGCAATATAGCTAAAAGGCATCGTCAAGTATTGTTGTAGTTAAATAATTGTTATTTTTACAAAAAAAGAACTGCTTTACTTGTTAGGTGGTTGTTCTCAAATACTTATAAGTAGAAGTCACTATTATCATAACACTTAAGTTTATGTGTGGTTTGTGTTGTGAATGTTGGTTGCATGGTGTCAGTTAACTAATTTGGTCAAATACGTTGACTGCAGCTTCGCTATGGATAATATTTATTGCTCGTTTCTGTTAGCGCCTACCACAAAAGCAACAAGGAGACCAACACTGAACTGATCTACGTTTTGTTGAACGTCATAACTCATAATTACGCCCTCCCTGGTGGTTGTTTTCAATGGCTGTCAGCCAATTTACTTGACCCACTATTTTTTACCCGACGCCCCGCCGGCGAAGTAATGCAATCTGACAGGGAAAATGAAAGTGTAGAGCGTGACCCGTCACACCATATGGTGCCGGCCAGCTTATTTTGCCGCCCAGAAGCCTAGTTCTTTCCGAACGGGGATCAGCCGCTTCGAGCAACAGGATGCAATTGGAGGTATTTACGTCCTAAACAAAATATCGGGAAGGGTTGCGGCAAAAAGAGCCACTGATTTTCTTGTAAGGTTGATTTGCGTTTTTTTAGGATTAACTATAAACAATTAATCTGTGGGCAACAACTAGTGATGTCAATTACGGAAAATCGTGATACCGATACCAAACAAAATACCAACAATATCCATGGAAAAATACCGAAACCGAACGGACTTGGGAATATGAGGAAAATACCAACTTTTTACCAAATTCTCAGCCTCTTTTACATTAGTGAGGATTCATAATACCAACAAAATACCAAATGCACTCGCCTTGAAATACCAAATACCAAGTTGGTATCGGTTTGGTATCGGTATAGGTACCAAACAGTTGGTATCCGATCGACATCTCTAGCAACAATCGTAGATAGCTAACGAATTCAGAGACATGATAGCTCTACATTACAATCGCGATTGTTTTCCGTGTTATATCTGATGTGTTTCCAAACAAACCAAACCAAACAAAATCAAAATAAATCAAGTTCAGACTAACACATAGCACATAATAAATAGAATAGTTATACTAAATATGTCAGCGCCATTTTCAAAACGATTCACCAGGCGTCCTTTCGGTAGTTGATCTTCCGTTACCACAGCCATGACCGACGCGGCGGACCAAGGCCTCCAGTCGCCTAATGAGCTTCTCCCAGGAGTAATCCAGCCGTATCACCCGGCCGGAACCAGCCGGCGGAACAGCCTCGCCGAATGGACCACCATCCGTCCGTCTGGAGCATGTATGGATTATAACTGAGTGGCCGACGCGGAGAGATTGTTACAACGTTTTAACCAGCGCCGTGCTTTCCGCTATGTGCCTGGACTGACCAATCCGCTCAACACGCATGAGATTATAACACCAGCCCACTTGCCATGACCTGGATAGGCGACATTTGACCATCTCTACCGAACTTAGGCGGCGCAACGCGCGGTGCCCGCTGACTGATGCCTGACCTTCCCTGCTCTTGGTGATCCAGCGCTAAGCTCCTATCGCTCCGTATGCATTGTTCGGCAGGCTGATATGCATAAATGTAATCTAACCAGTCACGGGTCGGTATCGATCGCTGATCGTGTTCCCCATCCCTGAGACCTTAGGACCCGTCCCACTGTCTTTTTTGAGCGCTGTTGCTGCCTGTTCCGCTTACAGCCTCGCTGTCTCGAGGCACTGTCTCTTCTCTCTGCCCTCGCTGTGTCTCCACACATAGCCTCGTTGTCTGTCTCGTCTCGCTGTTTCGCTGCTTTACTGCCTCGCTTTGCTGCTTCCCCGCCTCCTGCTGCCCTCGTGGCTTCGCTGTCGCCCCTGCCCCCCCCCCCCCTCCGCCTCCCGCAGTCGCAGTCTCGTCCTCCTAAGGAGCTCGGTCACCCTCACGGATGCTGAGGGAGCTCGCATGAATAAATAGGGTCGGCACGGAAGGAAGTGGCAGATAAGTATCCGCAGTGTTTTTAATAGTCGGCTTTCTGTAACGAATTGATTTCTGATGACTCGGCGTGGGATAATAATTGTCACAAAGCGACTATAGTGATCACGATTTATTCGCTATGGAGATTTATTCGCTATGGAGATATGTTGCTATGTGGGGTGATGAGTGAACACTGTTCGAACTTCGAAGCTTCTTGGACAAAACTTCAGCAAAAATGTCAGCGTCAAATGTAAAAAATGACATGTTTTGCCTCAGTATGATAGCTATACATACTGTAATTTCACGGCAAATCGTATTCTAATCCTCACATAGTCGCTGCTCAACTGCAGTTTACATTCCATGATAAAGAGCACTACCACAAAACACAAACCGCAGCAACCGAAACAAAAAGCTGGGTCTGGTGTGACAAATGACCACAATGAGCACAGTGGCTGGCTAGTTAGGACACTGCAAGGAAAATCATCACTCAGAGACGATAGCAAATGATTAAATGCAGGAAAAGGAGGCAGCGTTCTGCGTTATCAATGTGAGGCCGGATGCAGCGGCGGCAGCCGAAAATGCATGGTTCTCTTATCCAGGAGAACTGGGACTCAGACAGAATTGGCTATGAAGGGAGAAGACAAAGGGGACTGGACTTAAGCGGGCCAAGGTTATACGATATTTTTATTATATAAGTGTAGATAATACCTATATCATATTCATATAGAGGTAATATTTTTATTAGTATGGCGACGGTTGCCTTTCATATGAGTGAGGGCAAAGGGACTGAATGAGATTCCAATTGATCCCACTCATCGCTATTCCGTTTCCATTCGGTTTCCGTTCCGTTTCCGTTCCGTTTCCGTTGTGTTTCCGTTCCGTTTCCGTTTCGTTTCCGTTCCGTTTCCGTTCCGTTTCCGTTCCGTTTCCGTTCCGTTTCCGTTCCGTTTCCGTTCCGTTTCCTTTGAAGAGCCTTGCATGCTGAAGTCCTGCCAGGGATAAGTTATGATTTTATGCCCGCTGTTCCCTTCCCGTTAGTTTCGCTTCCGTACATTTCATTTTTGTTCGTTCCTTTCCCGTTTGTTCCATTCCGACTGCTCTGTTCCCGTCCGTTCCTTTTCCATCTGCTCCGCTCCTGTCCCGCTCTCTAAACGCCTCATCACGGCACCGTCACCGGTGACCCCCGGCTGCGTCGAGCCTCGGTCTCACGTGCGGCCACTAGTCATCATCATCAGCGCTCGCTGATGGCCGGCGCTCAGCGCGTCGCTGACCGGTGCCCGCCCAGCGCGCCACCAGCAGGCCGCGCGCGCGCGCGAATTAATGAGCCGCGTCTCGGTGCGACTATTACGGCGCACTTGGCTGCCATTATCTGCGGTGGGCCGGCGGCGGTGGTGCTGTTATCACGGCCGGAACCGCTCGCCGCCGCGTCCCACGGGGCTGCGGCTGCTCGAGCTGCGAGCTGCAGAAGCGGGGGGGGGGGGGCGGTCAGAGGAGCGGAACAGAGTGGGAGGAGGGAGAGAGAAGCAACAGGACCGGTGAGATGTGATGGACTGGTCGGAAGAAGATGGACGGTGTGGACTGTGGCGCATAGAAGTGGCTCAGGCTGGGTGGGTAGCTGAAAACTGAAAATGTTACTTCGGGGTGTAACTTTTTAGCACAATAAATGGCGGCTGTGAGTGGGTGTCGGGGGTCGTGCTCCTATTCGAAACCCAAATTCGGACATCACGCTTATGTAGTGCACGCAGAGGTAAACACCCGACCATGGCCACCCCTTTTGGTGGTTATGGGCAGTTTCACTCTCATCTGGGATTGTTGGTGAGCTAAACTGTTGGGTGTTTACAGGCATAAAACAAATTGTGGCATGCTTTTCTTTGACAAGTGACTGGAGACCACAGAATGCAAAGAGCAGCTTGCAAAGCATGCACAAGGACGTACAGAGAAATAGGTCAGAGGTTCCAGTTCAGGAACTGTCCTTATATCTTACAACCCAATCCTGCCTTTGAAGTGTAAATGCGTGGGACACTGCTACAACTTCCATTCGTAGCATTCAAAGTCGTTTTAATGAACACATGAACATGATCATTTTTCAGTAGCGGCGGAACACCTTCAATTAACCCTCGCCGGCACAGGCCATTTTGCGTCCTTCGACGGCACAAGGGGGGTTGGTACGACCCCCCTTCGCATTTGGCCCCTGATCGAGCTAGAGCTTCGCGGAAAAAACGAGCGTGTTGCCCGTCACGAGAGGAAGCCGATGACACCCAATTTTAATGTCCTAGGTCATCGGGTGACCTTCCAGGTCAGGTCAATGACCCGAAAACCGGGAAAATCGGGACCTGTTAGAAAGTCGTAAAGTGTGGCTGTAATGTGGTTTTCCGGGGTGCTGATCACGAATATCGTGCTAGTTTTGATCAGAGATGATGTCTTTTAGCATTTAGACCAGGTCGGGTCAGGTCAGGTCAGGTCAACCGGTAGGGGTTGTGACGGGTATTCGTTATACGTGTCAACCGCCTCTGACAGCTTCGTAACATGTTACGAAAGCACCAAAACTACTTCTTAAATGTTCAAATGGTTGCTAAATTCGAATTCAGCTCCAAAAACTAGCCTAGAAACATGTAAAACTCGAAAAAGTGAGCCGAGGTCACCCGAGGTCAATGACCTGACCTGACCTTCAGGTGACCTTAAAACCCACCCTAATGTATGGGAGCAACATCAAATCACATGTTGAACGTTTGAAACCACGAAAAGCTTGCAAACGCGCGGCTAATGCGAGCCGACATACGCCGAATCGCGATTCCGGCCAAGCATGGTCTCAGAAAAGAGGTCACAGGTCAAAGGTCATTTGGGTCAGGGTCATGAAATTTTTAAGGGTAGGTGTAAAATTGATCAATGCGAGGGTACGGAAAGTTTCGCCGCGATCGGCCGCTTTTTACGCGAGTTATTCGCGAAACACCTTAGGGGGGGGGGTGCATCAACCCCCCCTGTGCCGGCGAGGGTTAAGGGGGGGGGGGCACTGTCGACTTTTGGTCCCATTCTTTCCATGCAACGTCCATAGGGCTAATGTTAAAATGCCAAAATCAAAGAGGGGCACGGTGCCCCGGTGCCCTCCCCGTTCCGCCGCCTATGTGACATTTTTAGCCGTAAGAACGAAGGCGTTTATGCATAGCCGGATCTTAGCAATACAACATGCACCACATAACTACCTCGTCGTCGAATGGCTTTCTCACGTACATACCTATATTACCTAAACTCAACTGCTATGTAATCACCACCATCAGCAACATTACAGCACCCGCGGCGACCGCAGCACGATCCGCAGACTCGGGCGGCGACGCGCGCGGACCGGAGGCTTCGGGCAGCTCCGTTGTCGGTCCGCGTCGTTGTCGACGGGCCCGCGTCGTTGTCGACGGACCACTCCTCTGTGGCCAGTCGGTGGGGGCGGACGGCTGAACAGTCCGCTCTGCGGAATACCGCGCGTTCATAGTCGGTGGAAGGTTACGGATAATTTATAAATTAGAAACATCAGCTCCGATGGCAATGTGTGATTTATGTCGGTGTTAGGTATATCAGCGTAGTGAGGCAACACATGGCAAGAGGGAAGACAGGACACTAAGAATCGAGATGATGGCAAACGGAGACTTCTTGCTGGTGGTGATCGTTTCTCATCTTCTTCGGACAGGTAAGTGCATGAACAAATATCTGTCTATGCGTGAAGTGTATCGCCTGTATACGTATAGACATTGAAATATGTTGCTGAGAACAATCACGGGGTTGCAGTTGCACTGTACAGGAACTCGAACTCTAAAAGTATCTCCAGTCCAGTTCCAGGAGCAGCTGTGTGCAGCGATATCAACTGCGGCTCCCTGTACAAGATCCTTATCCGGTTCGCTAGCCAGCGACCAAAACCCAAGTGGTGTACAAGCCAAAATGTTGATAGTTTTTACCTATAGACCTGACCTGTAACGTTATCATTGAACTCAAGGTCAATAAAATCAAGTTCCGCAGGACATTTCTTCCAGAGCTATCAAATGACGTTTAAATTTTGACCATCAGCCCAGTAGTTTTGGAGATAGAGGCAGTAGCGGCGGAACACCTTCAATTAAAACCCATTAATGCCGCTTGGGTCATATATGACCCAAAAGCAAAACCTTAATGATTTTTCTCAATGAAGGCAAGTGGCACTTTGAGGAACTTGTGCGTGTGTTTTGTTGGATTTGTGGGTTCAGTGGCGAGCGTCGGAGCCCCATAAAACTTGTGTGAGCTCGTCCACTGAAGTTTCTGGAGCCAAAGACGACGGGACTGCACAGTCGCCGGTCACTGGCAATGGCGCGCCGCCCCAAAAAGTAATATTATATTATGTTTGCACCTTACTATCTGTTGAATGATCGTCCACCTGGCATTTAAACTTGTCTGAAAAAGGCATGATGTATATTTTTGCCCTTCTTGTCGCCATCGGATAACTTTTTTTCCTCGATAAATATCATTGGGTCATAAATGACCCAGCCGGCAATAGTGTTGTCAATTTTCTCGTATGTTGAATACAAGGGAAGCAACTGATGATTATACGATTACTTATTTCTGGGGGTTGTGATCAGATCCCAGTGGCGGATCCAAAGGAGGGGGTCATATGGGTCACTCATGACCTCCCTTGGGGCCCGGGGGCACCACCGACCTATCAGGGGCACCACAGGCCTGACAGGGGCACCACAGGCCTAGTGCTGCGATGTTGGGATATCATGAGCGGACCGGTCGTGCGGGGCCGTGACGCGGGGCGGGCCGGCGACTCGGCCGGCCGAGGGGCACCACGGGCCTGTCAGGGGTACCACAGGCTTGTTAGGGGCACCACAGGCCTGCAGGAGCACCATCGGCTTAGCAAGAGCACCACAGGTCTGCCAGGGGGCACCACAGACCTGCCAGGGGCACCAGGAACCTGCCAGGGGCACCATCGACCTCACAGGGGCACCACCAGCCTCGCACGGGCACCTTGGGCCTGTAAGGGCTCCACGGGCCTGTCGGGAGCACTTCGGGCTTGTCAGGGGCACCACAGTCCTGCCAGGACCCAGGGGCACCAGCGGCCTAGCAGGGGCACCGCAGGCCTCCAGGGGCACCACAGGCCTAGCAATGGCACTGCAGGCCTGTCAGGGGCTCCACAAGCCTGTCAGGGGTACCTCAGGCTTGTCAGGGCCCAGGGACACCACAGGCCTCTCAGGCCTATGGTGCCCCTGACAGTGTCAGGAGCACCAGAGGCCTAACAGGGGCACCACAGGCCTGCCACCGGCACCAACGGCCTCGCCAATTTGACGTTGCAAAGCATTGCAATGCAGTGCCTCTTAATATTGTTTGGCTGAGACCGCTATACAGCATACACAATAAGGTATCTAGCTAAATCGGTTTTCGTGATAACTCCTTATTTGTGACTATACTAATGCCGGTTGGGTCATTTATGACCCATGCTTATAACTTGAGAACCGATGGAATAATTTTTTTAAGCTTGCACAGTTTTCTTACTTGGACCCGTGTGGCTAACATTTGTTAAGGGCAACTTAAGAATCAAAAAATAAAAATTCCGGCATTAATGGGTTAAGGGGAGCACTGCCGACTTGTGGTTCCATTCTTTCCATGCAACGTCCATGGGGCTAATGTTAAAATGGCAAAATAAAAGGGGGGGGGCACGGTGCTCCGGTGCGGCGGTGCCCTCCCCCTCCTTCCGCCGCCTATGGATAGAGGGACTAATAGAGCCCCCCTCCCCCAAGTCTCCGTGTTATCCCAGTTATATGCGGGTACAGTCAAAGTTACTAAAAGCTGTGTGTCAATATGCTAAGCTGTTCAGTCAAATTGCAGGACAATTGACCAGGCGCAGTTTAATCAGGGCTCAAGGTTGTAGAACTGAATTTATTTACAAAAATGTACTAGAATAAGTTTTTGACTGTGTTCAACTGTTCATCTACGGGACTTACTATTAGGCATCAGTATTGTTATTAATCGTTTTATGTACTCTCATCTTAACTTCTAGCTTTAGTTCTCAAAACAGCGTGAGTCCACTTGAACAATTAACCCTCGCCCGCACATGCCATTTTCCCATCCTAGAACGCACATGGGGGGGGGGGTGGTTGCCACCCCCCCGCGCCATTTCGTTCCTGTTGGAGATAGAGCTTAGTGATAAGACCAAAAAGATTCTTTGGGAAGAGACGAATCCAATGATACCCAGTTTTACCTTCTCAGGTCAGTAATTGACCTTCCAGGTCAGGTCAAACTAAAAAATGCTGCTGTTTTGGGTCACCGCTGGATATCAAGTGCGCTGCTTATCAAATACCGATGACGATGTTGTTTTCTGGTGCCAAGCCAGCTAGAACCTCTTTGTCACACTACCCGACCAGAATTTTGCTGCTGAGGTCATGTCAGGTCAAGTTAGGTCAAGGTCAATTATATGTGTTTGTATGTCTGTGTGTGTCTGTGTGTATACTGATGTGTGCACCGATTGTTTTTGGGTCCATATTACATGAAATCATGATCTGAGAAGCTTTTACCAAAAATGCAGTCAAAAAACTTCACAAAAAGTAAATTCAGCTTGCATAAAACGCAATTATCTTAGATGACCTAGGTTGACCTTGACCCTGACCTTGACCCCTGTACATCGTCGAACAACATGTTCCATGATAGGTGGGAGGCAAGACTGGCAAAAAGGCCGAAATCAGGGTGTCAAAAGCTCACAAGGCCCATGGCAAACGCAAGATGTTGAGAATTGGCCATTTGGGTCATGACATGACCTGAAAAACAAGGTCATATCTCCGAAACCAAAAATCACAGAAACTTGAAATTTTCAGTGGACATCAAGAAAGGATAGGGGAGCAGCTATACGAAAACTCAGCCTTCTAGCTAAAAAAAAAATGTTGAGTGCAGAGCAGAAAGACTACCTGGGGGGGGGGGGGTGGCAACCACCCCCCCCCCCCATGTGCGGGCGAGGGTTAATCCATCCTAATTTGTATTTACCAAGAACGGCTTAGATACCAAACGCTTGATTTATTGACACGGCCACCAAGCCTGAACGGAAGTTGGAAGCTTCCTCGTCAATGCGATTCGACCACATTCAGAATCCAATCGGCCGTCTGGAGCTGACGATTATGAGACCACTATGATGAGACGCTTATGAGACGAGGACCATGCCTAAATGGCCGTGTCGAATTAAAAAGGAGCCGACTGTTTGTTGTCAGCCAAACAGTGTAAAACTGGTAGTTAATAAGTAAGCATTTTATGCATTTGATGTAAATAAATGGCTTGTATGAATGCCAAAAGGCAAAATATGACTAAAAAATACGGAAACAGGATTTAACACTATGCAACAAACACCATTGTGCATTGAGCAGCATGATCACTAGTAGAGATGTCAATCGGATACCAACTTTTTGGTATACCGATACCAAACCGATACCAACTTGGTATTTGGTATATTTCAATCCTAATGTACTTGGTATTTTGTTGGTATTATGAGCCCCCACTAATGTATAAGAAGGCTGAGAAATTGGTAAAAAGTCGGTATTTCCCTCATGTTATGAAGTTGGTTCGGTATCGGTATTTCCTTACGATTTATGTTAGGATTTGGTTTGGTATCAGTATTCAGATGTTCTGTAATTGACATCACTAATCACTAGCAAGCTAGAATTTACAGTTCTCATTTTTTGAAAGCAGTTTTTCTATAGCTATCCTGTCTTTTCACAGGCTACTGTTCACCTTTGACCCCGGTCTCGGTCAAGGCAGGAAACAACGCCACGCTGCCCTGTCCCGCCCTGTCGGCCGCCGATGCCAGCGCCCCTGGTGACTATCGGGTGAACCAGCTGGTGTGGAGCCGCTGCTCAGGCAAGAAGACGTGCCTGGTGGCCGGCCAATCGGTAAGAGCAGACATTGACGTCATTTTTTTAAACACGCTGGCTGATTTCATTAGTTATGACCGGGACATACATACGCGTATGCTGCCTGAGGCTGTTTTCAGTAAAGTTAGGTAGTTTTTACCTATACCATGAAGTATGAACACTGAACAATAACACGATTACGCCACAATTAGTATAAGTGAGACGTTCTTTCTGCAATTTGCAAACATTGGGAGCTAATGCAATCTTCACCCCTTAGCGCCCCCTTCACTCATATCTCCTCAGTCCTCATTGAACCCTGACAGTCTGCCGAAATCCAAAGGCCTGGCAGGTAGACTGTGCCGCAGGGCTCGAATACCGTGCGGCACAGCATTCCTAGCACACAATAACGGCAAAACACGGACGTCGGACACGCTTCCGTGGTCGTAGGATGCAAAAAAAATTAGCATTCTGCCCTTCGCAAGGAACGTTGTTAATCCTTAACTGAACAGTCTCAGGTGAACTGGTTAAAGTCGATATGACCTCAGATATCGGACAAAATTCAGTTCGTGATGGATGGCTATCTAAAGTTGCATCAACCGATTTTCATTAAGTCCATTTTGCACTATCTTTTTAGGAAAAAATGCTGATTGACTTTTTGCGGGATATGAAGGAAATGTAAATAACGTAGAGGTTTTGCGTGGCTTCCACTTTCGAACTGTTCATGTTTGTAGGCAGTAGGGGGCTGCGACTGTAACGGGCTTATTTATGTTGAAGACATGAGGCGCCAATAGCTACGAGTATATTGCGGCTGTCCTCGAAAAATAATCTGGGTCTGAGTGTGGTCCATCTTAGAGAAAAACAAGTGGGCATTACGGCTTAGGAAATACGGGATGCCTTAGTCTTTAAAAGTTAGGAAGCTTACGCGTTTGAACTGTGTTTAAAAGTGCCGTGATTGAGCGTGCAGAACATGAAATAATTATTAATAAATATTGAAATGCGGAAACAGACAGATAAGCAGGAGAGAGAGAGAGAGAGAGAGAGAGAGAGAGAGAGAGAGAGAGAGAGAGAGAGAGAGAGAGAGAGAGAGAGAGAGAGAGAGAGAGAGAGAGAGAGAGAGAGAGAGAGAGAGACAGAGACAGAGGGAGACAGAGGGAGACAGAGAGAGACAGAAAGAGACAGAGAGACAGAGAGACAGAGAGACAGAGAGGAGAGAGAGAGAGAGAGAGGGAGAGGGAGAGAGGTCTTGCATATTGCATGTTGCACACATGTTTTAGAGGTACACGAACTTCACCAATAACATTTGTCTTTTGCATTATCATCTATCGACTATTATTCTAAACGAAGTCCGATTCCCAAAACCCAATTGGGTATCAGGGGCCGTATTCACGTCGACTTCGTAAGTCGATTTTCTTTCGTAAGTTTAATTTGGTATTCACGTCGACACTTCTTAAGTTTTTATCGACGGAGTTCACGTAAATAAAGACATTTACTTAAAAAGTAGGTCAAACTTAAGGGGACAGTATCACCATTTTGATGAAATTTGACATTGCATAGGCCCCACCTTTCTGGTCCGGGAACTGAAGACCGATCCTCGAAGCTCCACACCGTTATCCCGCTATCGCCGCTCAAAGTACGAAAGGTGTACTACACTTTGAATCGTGCTTCACTATCTTCACTGTTTAAATGTTTGCGCCGTTTTGAATTGACCGCCAGTAATAAAACTTTTACCCTGGTCATTTCATCAAATTTTATAAAGCCAAAACGTTTTTCGCACTTATTCATCACCGTTAAATTCATTAAATAGTCGTAGGCAATTTCCGCTGTTTCCTTCGGATTCTAGCGGCTCAACAAAGGAATTCCTCCAGCTTGAATCACAATCTCCCTCCAATGTATGACGTATATGTATGACGTCATCTGATCAGTCTCGATCTCAACGACAACTCAATCAGAAGAGCGGCCGCGTAAGCGTAGCGTCAATAATGTATTATCTGCGCCAGTTCTGTAGTAATTTCGCAGGCTTCCAAAGTGGCGGCCATGCTTGTAGTGCTGGTTCGCTCATGAAAATGACTCGCTCATGAAAAAATATTTTTCACCGAGTTCGGTCCTCAAACTATGTTTTTCTGATTCAGAAAAATAAGAAATGCTAGTAAAAAAAAATCAGCTCCATGCATTGATTTTTTTTTTTTTGATGATACTGTCCCTTTAAGAAAATTCTTACGAATATGATCGACGTGAATACGGCCCCTGGTCTCCGGTCTCCAACCTCTTTACTCAGGGACCTCCTTTACTCTAAAACGCCAATTGAAGCACGCCTGGAAGTAGTTAGTTAGGGCTTCCCTGCCGTTGACATAATTGGTAATCTGCCACATTGTCACAAGTTATGGCGTCGTTTGGCCGGGGCACGACAAAATATGGCATCATTTGCCGCGCGCTAACCGTTTGCATATCGATAGAGTCCGTATTATGCTGCGATCTTTGACAATAGAAGGGAAGCGAATGAGCTTCTTCGATTATATGCCAGACATACGATGTAATTGAAAAGTTCAATAACAGTTGCCTTCACTTATGAAAAAACTCGCTCCCATTCGCTAGCTCCAATTACTAAACAACGGTTTTACATATTTTTGTAAGACTGTAGCATGTTTAATCAACATTCAGTCACGGTCACAGCTTGACAGCCTACGCGAGTTTACGTATTCAACCAGCGCGTCTGTTTTGGCGCAGAGCCAGCTGGTGACCTATGCGGGTGGAAAGGTCAGCGTCCAACAGGAGGACGCTCGTCTCTCCCTGGATCTGGACTCGTGGTCCCTGGTGATCGACCCGGCCAGAGCCACCGACTCGGGCGTCTACAGCTGCGTCTTCAACAAGCAGGCCTCCGAGCGCAACATCGTCCAGCTGCTCGTCCTCGGTAAGACAAATCGGGGGTAGATGACGCTGCTTGATCCTAGTCCTCTATCCAGGTTTAATGCGATGTGAGAGGAGGCCCCAAAGATTCACTGCCAAGTGATGCATGATGCTCCTGACGGACAGGATGGAAGGAAAGCTACACTTTGTTTATCATTTTCAGAATGTCTTATTCCAGCGTCCGGCTCTTAGTTTCATATTCACGATCTGAATACTGGCATAATTGAACGTTTAGACCCAACTTGTATCCGAGGTCTCTGCGTCCGGCAATGTTACGAGTCGATGCCAGAACAGTTTACTGCTAACAGAGCCCCTGAGATCGGCTATAACCCATTCACATACGTCTGCCCTCTCATGGTCGGTCCATTTCCGACCAAGTTAGGGTCCGAGTGGGCTCCTCGCTGGAAGCGACTCGATGCCTCGGTCTCCTCGACAGTCATTTGACAAACAATCATGGTTTTATTGACCATCAGAGTTGCTCTGGTAGGCCGCCCTCTCTGTGACAAAGGGCGGCCATTGGGGGATCGGCGCGTCAATTGACCTCAATCGTTGACCATGATGTGCGATGTAACAACTCACAGAAACTGCGTGTGGACTGAGCAGAACTGAGATGCTCAGCACATAGGCGGCGGAACCGGGAGGGCACCAGGGCACCGTGCCCCCCTTTGATTTGGGCATTTTAACATTAGCCCTGTGCTCAGCAGCGTCACCCGCGGTGACGCTGCTACAAGTTTCTTGCCGAGTTCTTGCAACAAGTTCTTGCATGGAGTCCTATCAGGCCGATGAAATATTGTGCTGTGTGCCAGACTTTTCGAATACTCCCTGTAAGCACGCTGTGTTTCAAACGTGCCCAGTCCCCCTGTGAATACTTTCACTGTGTTTCAGACGTGCCGAGTCCCCCGGGGCGGCCCATGGTGCTCCGTCACGAGTCCCGGCTGGTTAACCTCAGCTGGGCTCCCAGCAAGTACACCAATAACGCGCCGATCGAGTACTACGTGGTCCAGACCAGGTAGGCGGGCCCTGAACAGCGGCTCAGACCAAGTAAATGGCATTCCGGGGGCACAGACAGTCAAGAGAACATAGATCTAGTCCGTTCTCCAAAACTGTCAACGGAATCGACCGGTATTATCACTGGTCGGTCTTGCTGGACTTGGACCGGTCACGCATCGTTCTACCGGTTCAAGATCCAAATGACATCATGCAGTACATATAACCGGCAGTTTGATCAGATACATACCCGTAAGAAGAAGTACGCTAAAGCTGCAATAAAAACCGACGGTCATGGCTAAGAGTTGATTGATATGACAAAGAAACTATCAAGCGGTGACAAGAAAGTACCTACTACACATGAATTCATGTGCATTGGTGGTATAGTGTTGGTTGCTCTGTTGGGTGCTTACGGCATTATACACTGCAGCAAGTGTATTAGAATTTAGTGCCGTCGTCGTCGCCGCCAATGGCAGTAAAGTCCCGTAGCGTTCAATGGGGCGGCACTTTGTCCATTTCCGCTATGATTTGTGCAAATTGTTTATGATGCTACGGAGAACAAGCTGCTTTCCACAGTCTTTGAACACCAAACTTATGCGACGGATGTTGAACAGTGATCTCTATCCCATGAGTTGTTGAGGTTGACAAAAATTTCTTGTTCATGCTCTTTTGCGAATGAACGACCAGATGCGTCCTTATGTTACATTTTTGTGTAGCAAGCCTGTTACACTCCTATGCGCAGGAATATTCAGCCAGTAGTCAGTTTTCTTTTGTTAGTGGATTCTTCCGGTTAATAAAACAACTGAACGCAATGAAGAAAAGAGCACATGGAAAATAAATCACCATTCCTTCCTCTATTCGACGATACGACTATTTGTTCAACATGTTCATGCGTATGCACAATGACTTTCAGAATCTAGAGGTCATGATTGCGTTGACATGTTATCGTGCGCCCTAATATTTCGTAAGATTTCAGTTCTTGAAAATTAAACCTAGGTATGTCAATTTATAAAAAAACGAACTATATAAGTGTACCACTTAAATAGAGCACGATGTCGTGGTCAGACGAGAGCAATGTGAACATGGAATGTCATCAAATAAGTTTAACGCCCAATGTTAGTGGGTTGACAAACCCCTGGAATATGCGACTGCGAGGTCTGCAATAGAGGTGGCAAAATGTGGACCCAAGGACCCGGTCCAAAGAACCGGTCCCAGACCGGTTCCTAGAAATTTTCTGACGGGTCCAACTGGGTCCTACCATAAACCCTATATCTTGCACACTTCACATGATTGCAAAATGTGAAGTGAATGGAAAAAAATGTTCATGTATTGTATGTTTCTTTGCACACTGTAGCTCATAGGTACTCACAGGGGGGGAAAGGCTGTTTTACATGATGCAACTAATGATACCTATAAAAAATTCTGTTAATTGACTTTTGGGGAACGGGTCCAACTGGTTCCGAATCCAGCTTAGTCCAGTCGGATCTGGTTCGAGTCTGGTTCCCAAAATTTTCACCTTTTGCCACCTCTAGTCTGTAAATTTGAAACGTTCTGAACACCCACTCATACCCATGCTCGATTTGACTTGTGGTCATTGGACCGCACCATTCCCAACGACCGAGTGATCGCCAAACTCGTTTTCAACCGTGTAAATCAAGCAAAACACAATAACTCACCGACCACTTCCGCGTGGAAATGAACATCTTCCATCTCCAGCATAGCGAAGCTACCGCTCATATCCTGTCCTGCGCTCGACAAGTCCCCGGACGTCCGCACGCGACTGCTGGCTCCTCCTCCCACCCCTCCCTCTCAGGCCCCACACTGATCCCCAGCCTGATGAGGCCAATCAAGAGTAACGAGCCGGCGGCAAATGCTGAGCATGACACTTACAGGCGCGGTCTAATGAACGACTGGAGCTGGATGCCATCTCCGCCGGACCAGGCCTCGATTGGAACAGCTTCTGCGCGGCCAGCTGGACGGAAATAGTTTTTGGAGGGCGCTTGGTGGATTAATATTTATTGCCCATGCCAATGGATACCAATGGATTTTACTTCATTCTGTTTGCCAGTTTTATGTTAGGTATGTATTAACGGTGTGCTAAATATTAGTTGATTGTTAATTGATCACTAGTGTATACATCTTTGTAACATCATATAACATAGCAAAATATCATTTCATTTCCTGTTTAGCCTGACATATTCTGATCATCATCAAAGAAGCTCCAAGCGACACGAGCCGTCCAGGACCCCTCTCATTTCCCGATTGAAGCGCCGGGCCCCTGGTAAGCACGTCTAGCTCCTGGCCGTCACCGTCTGCGTCAGAACCTCCTCCTGCTAACTAGCTTACAATGGCGCACAGACAGCCCCTGGCGTCACATCTGTACGGAACATTCCGGCTGATTGCTGGCCCGTGAGTCGCCATCTGCATGGAACGCACGTGCCGACGCAGCAATTCAAGCGACGATCCCGACGAGCCCCTGTGACGACTGATGTGAAATCCAAGGAGGTCGGATTTCAGATGGTGGTTCCGACCTGGGTCGCAAGGTCAAACTAGGTCGGTGGACCCGTCTCGGCACGAGTTTGGTGATGGATATTAATTATTGAAGTGGATGGAAGAGCAAGATGCTTAGAAATGACTAATGCAAAGTTCGTATAAACTTCAACAGATGATTACAGCCTGCAATGTTGCTTGCCGCCTAGTGATACGTTAACTGCAGGAGATGATGTACTCGTAAGTGCTTACCTGTTGGATATGCGGCACCGAACATAGTAGTGATGTCAATTACAGAAAATCGGAATACCGATACCAAACCAAATACCAACCAAAACCGTGAGAAAATACCGAAACCTATCCAACCTAGGAACATGAGGCAAATACCAAATTTATACCAATTTCTCAGCCTCTTATACATAAGTGAGGGTTCATAATACCAACAAAATACCAAATATATTAGGACGGAAATACCAAATACCAAGTTGGTATCGGTTTGGTATCGGTATACCAAAATGTTGGTATCCCATTGACATCTCTAGAACATAGTAACACGGGTGATTCGTGGCGGGTCGTTGCATACTCACAGGCCACAACACTTATTTATAGATCCTATGTATGTATGGTCATTTGATGACCATTGAAATTGTTATTGACACGTTTTGTGTCCTTATTTTCAGGGGACTCTAAAAAGCATATATTTGACCAGCCATATGCTACTCTAAATCACCCAGCAAAAATACTCTATAAATAAATGGTATAAACTATAAACAACACGAGTATTATAGCACGTAACAATGAGAAACATCGAAGACCTAACAAGTAACGGTTAGATCAAGCGTATCGCCCTATTTCAGATACGGCAAGAGTGGTCTGTGGCCGAGCGTGGAGGCTGGGCAGCGGACGGTCAACAATCACACCAACATCACCATCTCGGGCCTGACTCCCTTCACGGTCTACACGTTCAGAGTGGTTGCCATCAACGCCCTGGGCCACAGCCGGCCGAGCACCGTCTCCTACCCGGTCAACACGCAGCGGGAGCGTGAGTTAGAGAGAGAGAGAGAGAGAGAGAGAGAGAGAGAGAGAGAGAGAGAGAGAGAGAGAGAGAGAGAGAGAGAGAGAGAGAGAGAGAGAGAGAGAGAGAGAGAGAGAGAGAGAGAGAGAGAGAGAGAGAGAGAGAGAGAGAGAGAGAGAGAGAGAGAGAGAGAGAGAGAGAGAGAGAGAGAGAGAGAGAGAGAGAGAGAGAGAGAGAGAGAGAGAGAGAGAGAGAGAGAGAGAGAGAGAGAGAGAGAGAGAGAGAGAGAGAGAGAGAGAGGAGAGAGAGAGAGAGAGAGAGAGAGAGAGAGAGAGAGAGAGAGAGAGAGAGAGAGAGAGAGAGAGAGAGAGAGAGAGAGAGAGAGAGAGAGAGAGAGAGAGAGAGAGAGAGAGAGAGAGAGAGAGATAAAATACTGACGTGAGAAAGCTGCACGGATGGGCTTCTGATACTGTAATATGCTAGTCTTGAATCAAGGGATGATTACATCTTTTACAACATATCCTCCATTTGTTTGTTGACAGTTCCATGCCCTCTCAGGTCCCGGCACAGCCCCGAACCTGACGTTCGCCCGGAACCGTTCGTCCACGTCTATAGAGGTGGGCTGGGAGCCGCCGGCCAATTATACCCTGCACGGGGAGTTCACTGGGTACCGACTGACGTACCGGCCGGTGGAACCTAGCCGGACGCCAGGCACGGTGACGGAGGTGGACCTGCACGACATCTGGCTCAGGGTAGGTCACAAATTTGAACACGAGCACACATATCTCTCAGTGTGTCCTTCATTTCTCCTTCATGGCAGGCAGACATCAAGGCAGACATCTATGAACCTGCAGGCTAGTCACGAGCCAAATAATGCATTTATGACGTTAGGTAATTTATTAGTTTCTTATTATATTTTTGCTTATGGTCAATAATTGTGTCAATATAGTTTCACTGAACATCTTTACCTGATAGTCGAGTGGTCTGGTCTGTTCCCATTGGCTCTGTCATTAGCTGGCATGAGTCCTCACATGAGTCCCTTACTGACATAATGCGCTACAAAATGAAATGCCAAGACCGTTATCCATTTGTTTGTCGCTCGCCAGCCCCGCAAAATAATCACACATTGTCTGGCCAGGTTGGATGTGGCGGAAATCAGAGTTCATCTTGGTTTTCATTCACTTCAAAGAAGTTATTTTCAGTCCAGTCTGAATAAGAATGTCTATAAAAGCAGTACGCTTCTAAGAACATTTTATCGTAGGCCCCAGCGCAACCGGATCAAGCACATCAAAATCTCCCTCGGACACCAAAGTTACAGCCGAGCGGATCCGTCCGACGGGTGTGAAGTCGAGCTGTTTTGTCTTGCCTTCCAGTCGATATTGGGTCTCTTTCGGCTGCTTTATCGCGGAAGTTTGCCATTAAGTCGGAATCGGGCGGGGAACTAGATTTGATCGTGCAAGTTTCCAAACGATGTAGTCGCTGCAATGGAGGCCGCCGGCAGCGACTGCCGGCATGAAGCGCGCCCGTCGCGGCCGTCGCTCGTCCGTTCAGATGCCGCTGATAGATTGGGCAGTAAAGTGCAGCCAGCCTGCCGCTCGGATATTGTGAACGGCCGTGCGCGGCGGCCGAGCGGTAAATACGGGCCAACTTGGAGCGGAAGTTGCCACAATCCCTGAGCCAGAGTACCCTGACAGGCATCTTTCAGTCGACAATGGTCCGCTCATGGGACGCAAACGCGGCGGAGTAGTGGTGCCGGCGTGACCAAAAGTGAAGTGCACTGGAAAGGCTATGCTTCGGCTATTCCGGAGGGGTTGTTAGTGAAAGGCTAGCTCATGTGGTGCACAGACATCGCATGAACGTCAATCATTTCAGTTATTATTTGTCATTGTTGCACAAGGAGTATTGCTAAAAATATCAAGCATCCAAGAAAATATTATGGAAGGACTTCACACCTCTTGGGCGCCCATTTCATCACAAGGCTAGGCTTATGTGCGGCTTAGGGTTGACGTCCGCAATGTGTGTTTTTTACATTGCATAGCATATTGCATAGTATTGCATAGTTTGAGAACATGTAGGTAATTACATAACGTGCCTTACGTCAGCGTGCCTAACACGCTACTGGCTTTTCAGCTTCCTTTGTGCTTTCACGACTCGATTTATAGTAATGATTGAAAACTTCTGAAAACTAATGAATGAATGTCCACTTTCAGAAATATTATATCGATGGTCTGGAGCCATTTACCAGGTACGAAATAACACTTCAAGTGAAGAACCCCGAGTATCTGAGTCCACCTGACACCATTTCTGCCGTAACTTCTCAAGGAGGTAAGAAATGAAATGATACGAGTACATAATTATTGTATTTGTCCGAAATCAGTTCGTTTCAAACCGTCCATCGAAAGTAAAAACTTCTGCAGGTGCAAACTCTATGCGTGAAAATGTAATCCATTCTGCATTTAGTGAGTCCGCAAGCACATCTGATCATTCCTCCGCGGCTTCCAGTTCCATCTCGGCCGGACAACGTGACGTTTCTGGAGGTCACTGACCGCAGTATGGTGCTCGGCTGGACGCCTCCCCGCCACCCTAACGGCCTGCTGCTGGGCTACACCGTCTACTGGACTTCCCAGCAGGCTACCGTGCGCAGTGTTACCGTGTCCGCCGGAGACGTCACCTCTTACACACTGACCACGCTCGGTAAGATCCCCGCAGAAGCCGGCGGATTATACGTGCCGGCCGAGGCAGGTGGTTGAGCCCGGCAGGACGATACGCCATCCGAATTAGCTCCGGTTTCGGCCGTATTTTTGGTCAGACACGGGACAAATACCATACGAGGATGTGTGGTGTTGGTATAAAGAAAGTCAGCAGCAAAGGAAATCACATATAGCCTTCATTAGTCTCATGCGCGCACTGGAGATAATCAGACGATCTTGGGCTCTTAGCCCGCGCACCGACGGGGGGCGGATATCCGCCCCCCCCCCCTGAGTTTTTTCGTGGATAGCGGGAAAACCGCGGCGCGTAGCGCCACAAAATTTAGTACGACTATTTTTTTTTTTGTCGATTTTACACATGGTGTGCAAGTTTGAACCTCCTAGCATTTAAGGTCAGGTCACCAGGTCACTTTTAATGACCTAACCTCAAGTCACTTTTTTGCAACTTTGTCACCGTGCCAGAGCTACAGTAGATTTCGGAGGCCTTTGAAAGTCGCAGGATGTTATTAGGGCATTAGTAGCTATAATTTGTATAGATCGGAATTTCAATATCGATGACCTAAGGTCAGGTCAATTTCTCGACCTCCTCATTATAATGGGTATAATGGGTGACTTATAATTATAAGTCAATGGGGGAAAATCAAACTCCCTGTTTTTACTTTTTACCACTAAAACGGGTCGGCATGGTCCCATATATCATACATGACTTCATATACGATCAACCTTCACTACCTTGAAGATATGGTGTTGAGTGCTCTCGCGAGGAACATATTGTTATAATAACTCAAAATGAGTTACCTTTTCCTAGAACATAGAAAGTTTAAATGTCAAAAATGATGTATTTAGGTGAATTTTCGCCCATAGGGCATCATCAGACAAGCAATTGGCACAAATTAAACATCAAACATCTTTGTGTCAAAGATGTTTGATGTTTAACCCGCGCACCGACGGGGGTCTGCGCCAACTTCGCACCGACGGGGGGGGGGGGGGCGGATGACCGCCCCCCCCCCTGAGATCTCGAGAACGAAGCAAGATAGCGACAAGCGGTAAACGGCATCGGATACGCACGGACAAGGTCTACAATTTTTACAAAGGTCATTTTCAGGTCAGGTGAAAGATGACGTCACAGGGGTCGAAAAAGTCAAAATGGCGGCGCTAGATATGGAGAGAGTTTTTCTCGAATAACTTTCGAATTAGTCAAGATAGGAACAAACTAACATCGTGATCCTCTCGTCAATCCGCATCGAATGATATATATGTTGACCTCGAAAGGTCAAGGTCAAAGGTTGACCTCAGGTCACGTGACCTCGAGGTCATCATGTATATCACTCGATGCGTCTTGACGAGCTGAACACAACGAGACCATCCGCGCGGCTGTATCTTGTTCCTGTACGGAGTTATTGGCAAAAAACCTTTGGTGACCTTTGATGACGTCACATGACCTTACAGCTGCCCAACAGCAAAACAGACCTCAAGGTAGTGAAGGTTGATCGTATATGAAGTCATGTATGGTATATGGGGCCATTCCGACCCGTTTTAGTGGTAAAAACAGGGAGTTGATTTTTCCCCCATTGACTTATAATGGGGAGGTCGCGAAATTGACCTGACCTTAGGTTACCGACATTAAAATTCCGAGATACACAAATTGTAGCTACTAATGACCTAATAACATCCTGCGACTTTCAAAGGCCTCCGACATCTACTGTAGCTCTGGCACGGTGACAAAGTTGCAAAAAAGTGACTTGAGGTTGGGTCATTCAAAGTGACCTGGTGACCTGACCTTAAAAGGTAGGAGGTTCAAACTAGCACACCATGTGTAAAATTGATGAGAGAATAGTCGTACCAAATTTCGCGGCGCTACGCGCCGCGGTTTTTTCGCTATCCGCGAAAAACCTCAGGGGGGGGGGCGGATATCCGCCCCCCCGTCGGTGCGCGTGTTAATTTGTGCCAATTGCTGGTCTGATGATGCCCTGTGGGCGAAAATTCACCTAAATACGTCATTTTTGACATTTAAACTTTCTATATTCGAGAAAAAGGTCATTCATTTTGAGTTATTTCACTACCTTGAGGTCTGTTTTGCTTTTGGGCAGCTGTAAGGTCATGTGACGTCATCAAAGGTCACCAAAGTTTTTTTTTGCCAATAACTCCGGTTAGGAACAAGATACAGCCGCGTGGATGGTCTCATTGTGTTTAGCTCGTCAAGGCGCATCGATTGATATGCATGATTACCTCGAGGTCACGTGACCTGAGGTCAACCTTTGGCCTTGACCTTTCGAGGTCAACGTATATATCATTCGATGCGTATTGACAGAGGATCACGATGCTGCTCTAACTTTGTTCCTATCTTGCAAGGCCTTCTGTTTGACACAGAGATGCTCGTACAATCGCGCAGAACCGCCGTCTCGGTGTCATATGGCCCGAGTTCTGACCTTTGGCCTCCAACCCCCCCCCCCCCCCCCCAGGTGCGGGCATCGTGCGAGTCAGACGAGGCTAATCTGGCGCGGTGCCAACTTTCGCCCCGAACTTACTCGGTGTAAATTGCTGATTGGGAACTTCGCGTCGTGTAATCGATCCTGACTTTGTCGGGTTCGGTGGGCCAGCTTCGTGTTCAGAATAGCTCGGCCGATCCCCTCACACCTTGTCTGGGCTGTGCGAGGCTCAGTAGATTGACCGCTGTCGGCGTGCTGTGGGGAGAGGCGAGGGGGAGGCAGTGGGGGAGGTGCTGGGAGGGGGCAGAGTCGACGCTAGATGGATGGTTCACCACAAATCAGTATTGGGGTGTGAAAGTAGTGAAACAACAAATGACAACAGTAGGTACGGAAAGCGCAAAGGCAGACAATAGAGAGAAGCAGGCATTGCAGAGAGATTGGAAAAAGTTATGCGTCGAAGTTGATATCAAATATCAATTGAAATTTAAATATCAGAGGCTGATTAGTCACCTGACATCCTCGTAAACTACAAATTATAAAGCAATTCACATACGCCATGAAAACATGTTTCTGGAATTAGTGAAATATTTGAGCACATCTCATGCAAACCATTGCCAAAGCTTCTTTACCATGTGGTTACTAACTGAGCGGTGATAGAATATTTATGTTCCATTTTATCGGATATTTGGGCACTGATGTAAACAAGGCCATTATTCCACAGGTCTGTCAGGCGAATGAAGAACCATTTTAGCGACATGCTTGTGAAAATGACGCAAATGATAAACGATAGCATTCCCCACGGGCAAGCTCTATCGAGTATTCAAAATCAGGACTAAAGTACCTACATCAGAAACGCCTTATATGCAAAGTACAAAAGTTGCATTGGTCTTCTACCATGTAACGAAGGGCCGTACTCAATGATCAAAGCCAAGCTTACAGCATCTCAGATAAATATGCAATGTCACTGCACTGGAGCCATGTTACACAGATTTATCCAATCAAAGCGAGCTTTGTAACTCGAGACACAATCCTTGAAATTCAATCACTCGTTCGGGTCACACGAGTGATGCCATTTGGTTCCTGTCACATACATGAATTCCATGCTGATTTGATCGATATTTCGAGTGAAGACTCCCTGGCTCATGTAGATTGGCACAGTTTGAACAAGCTGACTTATATGGACCCTGGACCCAAGGCAACCCCAATGATTGCAGGTAATCCTGTTTCGAGACACCTTTGTCATCATTTTAACAGCATGAACCAGGCAAAAACATACTTTGTTATGTTTCAGCGACCTTCATACTGTGAAACAATTTATATCAAGACGTATGACATGGAAGACGGTAGCAGTCGCGTATCCGTTATCCCTTGTTACGGACCGAGCACTGTATTTACATCTTGCCTTGCGTTCGACATCCGGAAAATGAGGGATAATTATCCGGGATCACTGGTAATTATTTGGTATTGCAGGGGCCATTTATACAGTTAGTCGCATTTTTTATTTCTTTTGCTTCAAAAATGGCCCTTTTACTCATTTTCATGTCCGTTGTGCACGGTGTCAGCCTAAAACACCGAATGATCCCGGAAAATTATCCCTGATTATCCGGATGTCGAACGCACGCTTTATCTATCTGTACCGGCTGACCCGACCAGGAATACACCGTATGACTGAGCCGTGTCTTTCTGTGTCTGTATCTGTAACCGTCTTTATCTGTCTGTGTCTGCCTTTGCGTATCGATAGACCCAGACCAGGAGTACACCGTTTGGCTGAAGGCACGCACGGCCTCCGGAGAGGGGGACCGCTCGTTCCCAGTGACGTCACGAACTGACGTCAGTGGCCCGGGGGCACCCGTCATCACCAACATCAGCTGTCCTAGCGATACGTCACTGGTGCTGCACTGGCGGCGACCGAAACTCATTTACCGGTGAGGACGGTGCTGAGGGCTGGGGGAGGATTTTGGCGGACTTGCCGGATGGGACTCTAGCTGGAGCTGATTGAACTTACAAGTAGGAAACATGCTTACATTATTGAGGATTTGGACTATGTCAACAATAAGAATGGCAGCAGTTAGGGGTCCTTTCTGGATTTTGATATTTGCAAAAAAAGAACGCCGATTGGTGCCCTGTTGTTGGTCCAGGATGTGTAGCAGATGTATTGGTGTGATCCACCTTTCCTTTTCATAAACTGGTTGCGATAGATAGTTTTGTTGGTGAGAGGATCCTTCAGCTTTATTTGCAATGCATCGCTAACTTTTTAAAAGCCAAACCAGCTGATATCGGCCTCGCCCATTTCCAGCTCTGTGGATATGTACTTTTTGTTGTATCGAAGCAACGCGAGCTGGGACTTCGTGGAGCGTCACGTTCCACTGAAGGCAGACGGACTCAACTTATCGGTAAGCGCTCCATAAACGTAAAACGGATAAACCAAAAAACTAGGTGCTGTGTAGTGTGTGCTCAAGCTTATGCGGTTACAATGTGGCTACTGTATGACGTAGTTAAGTGATTTTTCAATAAGTCTTAGGTTAATTTGTAAAATCTGTATCATGCTGTGGTGAAATTGAGCGTGGCCAACCGATTTTCATTGGATGCCTGACGCTGATCATAGCATATATTATGATCAACACCCGGTCTTGACGGCACACCACCACATGTTTTCAGATAATTCTCACAAACCTAACTACGAATGAAATCTACGAGCTGCGCATTCAAGGTGCCACCTTCTCAGTGCTAGTTCCGAAGAAAATATACAAAGGCCAGCAGTCTGCCTCGGCAAAGGTGAGAAATCCGTCGGCTACAGTCACGTTTATCTGCAAGTTCGAAATTTCAGATACATGCATGAATGTGCGGTACTGCGTCAATGACACAGTACCTCGGCCTCGCTCTACCGTCTTATTTTTACTCTTACATTTTGTCCTCAATCATCATTCATCACCGTCACATCTTGTCGTTAGTGTCATGTCTTTTTCTCAATATCATGTCTTACCCTCACTGTCCTGTGACGTCATATGACGGCTGCTGGCAGGTGCGTATGGAGCGGAACTGTCAGCAGATTCAGCTGTTCAGCACGTGGCGACACCAGCCCAGCACGGCACTGGCTGGCGCCCAGCTGACCGGCGTACTTGTCGGCAGTCTTCTGCTGGCAGTCACCGTCGTCATCGCCGTACTTTGGAGGTAGGTGTGTCACCGTCATCGTCATCGTGTTGTGGAGTTGGGTGGAGGTGCCATCATCGTCATCAATATTAGTTGGAGCAGGTGTGCCATCATCGCCATCACTGTTCTTTGGAGTTCTTGCTCTTTGGGAGGGGGAGAGTTGTAGACGTAGCCGTACTCTGGAGGTCAATGTGTCACCATCGTCATCGCCGCACTTCGAGGTGGGCATGGCTACAAAGGCAGGAAGTTCCCCTACGAATTACCCCTGAGGAGGCGGTAAGGGCATCTGGTAATGGTCCAAGCAGAAATGGAGGGGGTCTAGGGAATGGCCATGGCAGGGGTGGTCGCAGCCCGCAGGTCAATATCTTAGTGGCACTCACGTCCTCCTCCCGTTAGCCTCATTCGGGGCTCTGTCACTGCAGGTCATACGTGTGGATGGGCACATACTTGTGAGCCTCCGTCGACTGACTGGAGAGTTTGTAAGATCGATCACGCCGCCCGTCTCACGCTACCATGGTGTTCAATATCGGTCGCTCGGTCGATTTCGCTGTTCGACTGGTGTCGAGACTGCGAGACCCGATCACGAGTCTGGCAAAATCATCGCGACGTGCGCGACTGCTGGCTGCCTGCGTGACAAATTTCCAGATCAAGTCACCTTACCGACGCCATCCATCTGTCCTGAGGCAATCGGCGAACATTTGTCCGCGCTGGAGCTCCGATTGATTTAGAGTGTCTGAAACGGCCAGCTCTCTACTCAATTTGAGGTTACTTTCAATTGCACGTCACCAGCGCGGTGGCTATACAGCTGGTTCTGTGTAAAACCAGACAGAGTGGTACTTGTGCAATATGTTTAGCTTGTTTGGGTTACCGGGGCGAGGGATAAGACACACGCTATCACACTTCTCTCTCTCTCTCTCTCTCTCTCTCTCTCTCTCTCTCTCTCTCTCTCTCTCTCTCTCTCTCTCTCTCTCTCTATCTCTGTCCCTCTCCCTGTCTCTCACTTTCATTACCTCTTCTCTGAGTTCCTGGGCAATGTGGCAAGTACACATGTATATACTTACGCGGAGGAATCATAAACGTTTCATTGTTTTGCAATGTGTGCTCGTATTTAAATAACAATAGCCATAAAAATGTGTAACTACAAGATAGCCTCAAGCTAGAATTAGAATCAAGCTAGACCCTTCAGCAGAATGAAAAGATGACTTTGTTTACGTTAATAATGAAATGGAGATCGAATTCCGATCGCAATAAAAGTAATTCACTAAACATGTACTTGCTTTTGTTCTTGCAAAAAAGACGTACATATATAATGGGAATACATTTTATGAAATGTAAAAAAAACAAGCACTTCATTGGAGAAAAAGGTATATTTGCGATATAAATTCAAGTCAACAGTTGCATTTATAAATCGGAAAAGAATATATGTTACTGCATATAAAGACAAACATACATGCCTAATGAGATACAGAGAAGTGATCTTTAAAAAAAGCTCGGTCCAAGACAAGCCCTCATCATCATTCAATTGAAAAATATGTAATTCACCAGCGTCAAAAGAAGAAGTTCATGAGACATATGTAACATAACGAAAACACTGCAGTGAGCACTGAGCAGTCATTTGTTTGTTTGTTTATTTATTTTTTTATTTATTTGTTTATTTATTTATTTTTTAGTGGCCCCTCCTGACTGTGCCGGGACAGCGGTGAGCGGGCCCAGTGCCCGCAGTGATCAGAGACCACCTACGGGGTGCAGGTGTTGGCGTCAGCCGTATTGCTGGCGATCCAGGACAGCGCCTCGGTGACGCGACCGAACACATCGGGCCAGTTGGCCACGGCGCACGGCCGGCCGAACGAGACGACGCCGATCAGACGGAACCGGCCCGAGACCTCGGTCACCAGCGGGCCGCCGCTGTCGCCCATGCAGACCGACCTGCCGCCCTCTGGGTAGCCGCCGGCGCAGATCATGCTGCTCTTGAGCGTGGAGCCCCAGGCACCCTGGCAGCGACTCTGGCTCCAGACGGGCAGCTGGACATGCTGAAGGTGAGTGGCCTGAGGGTCGCTAGCGCCAACCTGGCCGTAGCCGCTGGCGATGGCCGTGACGTCGGCGTACGTCTGGCCGGCGGTCGGCAGGCAGACGGGCGAGATGGTGTTGCTGAAGGTGATCTCGCGGTCAAGCTTCAGCAGCGAGAAGTCCCAGCCGCTGCCCGAGGCGCTCGTGTACTGCGGGTGGTTGATGATCTGCTGGACCGAGAAGCGCTGCTCGCCGGCGTCGGAGGTGCCGATTTTCAGGTCGCCCAGCATCACCTGGATCTGGCTTGGGCTGCTGTTCTCGGTGCAGTGGGCCGCCGTCAGCACGTAGCGGTTGTTGATGACGCTGCCGCCGCAGAACGTGCGGGTGCCGCCGGGGTTGACGAGGCCGGCCTGCCACGGGAACTGGCCGGCGGTGGCGTCTGCGCCGCCCACCACACGGGTCTGGCGCAGGCCGCACTGGCAGTCGCCGCTCGGCGGCGCCGACGTGGTGCCGGAGCCGGTGGCCACGGTGACCAGGCAGTAGAAGCCGGTGGCCGTCACCGAGTAGTCGGTGTGGATGCGGATGCGCAGCTCGGAGGCGGTGATGGCGGCAGGAGCGCTAGAGCCGCAGTACTTGCGCTCGTTGATGGAAAGATAGTCGTAGGCGCAGGAGGAGTGGCTCTCCATGCTGAACGGGTTGCAGGTGACGGTCACGTCCTGGCTGTTGTCGCCCTTCAACGTGAAATTGGAGTCATGGTTGTTTGGGTACTGATCCGGGTAGTTAGGGCTTTGGAAGAAGTACTGTCCAGGCGCCAAAGTGTAAGTGTTGCGAGTTTCTTTCTCGAGGAACGGAATAGGCTCGGGTCCCTCCTGGAATGCGACCGGCTCGACATCGAGTGGCTGGATGGGATCGCCGTCGGCCTTGGCCGGGGGAGGCGGCTTGGCCAGGCCGGTGGCCAGGACCACACAGGTAACGACTGCCAGACGGAACATAGTGGAAGGTACCGGCTGCTAGTCCGGGGGCCGCCTTTATACACAACTGAAGGGGACGCACAGATGTCTTTGGCCTCCCCGAGTGACAACTCAGCGGGGCCACTTGTTACTGAAAATGACTGCGCACCTCTGATAAATGTCGAATACCTATGCGGTTAACTCTGAGTGGGATGAAACGCCAGCAAATTGAACATCTGTTTCTGGCGTCGTCTAAATGCACGATTGACAGTTCCGTAAGGCTGATAATGGATGTTATTCAGACATTCCGCGTGCGCAGCACGTCTGTAAGGCAGTTCAGCGTACGTAAGACAGTTTTTGTCGGAATTGGATGTTCTTTGTGTGCTATAGTGCAATGTCACCAGGGCATTCTAGGACATGCTAAGTGCGATGCTATATACTGCCCGCGGAGGGATGCGACGAAATCCTGACCCATTGGAGTGAAATGGCGTCGCAAGGGAAAGCAGCCTTAGGAAGCGGATTTTTTTTTAACTTTACGCATCGCCTACCTAAAATCATCGGGTATTCCATAATTCCTCTCAATTATATAATTATGCATATAAGTTAATCAACACGCGCCCCACTGGGGCCTGCGTATAACACGCCCTACGGCGGGGAGGAGGGTATTCATAGCCCCTCCCCTCCTAACTCCGAAACTACTGAGCCGATCGTCAAAATTCAAACGGCGTCTGATAACCCCGGAAAAAACTGTCGAGCGAAACCTAATTTCATTCACCTAAAGTTCATCGATGACGTCACAGGTCAGTTCAAATTAGAAATTATCGTTGCTTGGCTTGCTCACATTTTGGGCTCTGGCCGCCGTTTTACAAGTCAGATCAGGCTCATTTTTGGTTTACACACTCATGAACAAGATACCCTGAGGGTACACCAAAATTGTACTTTGATTTTCAAGTTAGGGTCACGTCATCACAGGTCACGGAAATCTTATATCATGCATCGGTCACGTGACACATGTTTTATGCTCCATTTAGGCCATATATTTTGAATTCGATGTCATTTATGTCATTCGAAGTCATTTTGAGTTGAGTTTAGCTTAGGTCAGGCCACTTTTAGGCAAAAAGGGTCATTTCTTTAAGTTTAAATTTTTCAACAAAAGTGTCTATCGGATGCAGTTTGAGCTCAGCTGAACACGATGGTGCTAGGTATATTGGTGATGGTGCTTTGGTTAAATACGTACTGAAAAATTGATTTGAAAGATTTAAAATTGTGAAATTTTTGCTATAATGCGATATATAACTTGACCATTTTTGAAGATATCTGGCTACAACTTGCTAGGGTAAGTCATAAGCATGTGTTCTATCACATATATTCCGTTTTGTTTCGAAAAGTCAAAAAATTACTGAAAGAAAGATAAAAATTCAAGTTTTAAATTTCATATACCTATAATTTCCAAAGTTTTCATAGTTTTGAAAATCAAAGATAACAGTTTGAAAGCGCAGCCTATTCTGAGTCCTTTCATGCAAATAAATTGGATCTAGCTTAAAAACTGAGCTCTTGGGAGCGATTGCCGTGGTTCAATGTTTTGCGTCGAAATCGGCCGAACATGACGTCACTCTGACGTCATTTCCGGCCGACCTATGGTAGCTACGAAGTTAACATTTTGACACAAGGTGTCAAGTTAATGCAGCCGAAGGTACTAAAAGTTTAACGTCGATAATACGTCTAGCGGTTTAGAAGTTATTGCAGAAAAACGGGATGGGGCTATGAAATATGAATAGCCCTCCAGCGGGGCGCGGGTTTAAAATTAAAATGCAAGATGAGCGAAGCAAGAAGCAATTGCACAATTGAGTCCCATTATTACCATCCCATTTCCTTAGTATCCTATAAGTCATTGACCACATGCATCGAAAGTTAGCGACTTTAATTACACCAGTTTGTTACGAGCGAGCGAGCGCAGCGAGCGAGCGAGTTCATACTGAAAAGGGAAAATGACAAGTATGAGCGGCCGGCCGGCCGGCCGTGGGGACGTTCTTCAAAAGCTCATATCTTAGGAACGGGACATCCGATTGACAAGCGGTCTTCTTTACTGAATGTCACTTGGACGTAAAAGTTCTGTGGTGCGATGGCCACCATGCGTTCTTGCCAACCACCGTACGTGGCGCGTGGTAAAGTTGGACATTTTTTAAGAACCCCCAAAATTGCAACCTCAATAACGGCACAACGGTTGGGCCGATTGAATTGAAACTCGGTACACAGTTAGGTCTCCATCAGATAATTCATCTGCATGTGTTAAGGTTGGGGTGCTACTGCACGTGCGCACGTGCAGGAGGCGTTTCCAGATCTCGAGAACGGCTGGGCCGATTGCGCTCAAATTTGGTACAGGGTTGGGGACCGGTTAGTAGGGTGCCGTGCAAAAGTCATTTTGGACCCTGTTTGCACGTGCGCACGTGCAGAACGCCGCTTCCAGATCTCAGGAACGGCTGGGCCGATTGTGTTCAAATTTGGCACACCGCTAGCGACCGGTTAGAAGGGTGCTTTCCACAAACCCGTTGGAAGTACCCTCTCGCCCTTCCGCGCGTGCAGGAGTCACTATCTTGCTCGCTCGTTCTTCGCCCAAAAGGCGTTTTACTGGTACCTACTACCTAGTCTTATTATTGTACCTACATAGGTGCAAAACAATGCGAACGGTGCCATCATTCAGACTGGGAGTCATTTCAACAGACGACAATGTCGCGCAATGCACATGACACTAAAGCACATGTGATTTAGCTGTCCACTTGAGTGTGAGTTGAAGCAAAGCCAGCCTATTGTCCACATACGCATTGCGTTGAGCGGAGCTAGCTTTCCGGAGCTACTCGCATTGATTAATGAATCCAAAACGTGCCCATTATGCTGAGCCATTGTTGTCCTAAGAGCGCAGGCCGTGCTGTAGGAATGTAAATTGCATAGGGCGTATAATCTACAGTAAGTACTTACTACCTACTTGCATAATGTGAATATTATGTACGGAAATGTATTTTCTATGACAAACTACATTTCCTATATCTTCCCTCTTGATCGGTTGTGAGCACTTTCTTACAATTACACGTGTAGTCACGTTACATGTAACATACACGGAAACATGAATCCACGAACATCTTCATCACCGATCATCGTATATAGTTGCTCGATCCCAACATGACTGGGGCATATTTCATCTTCCTTACTTACTTTTGCACGGTTACAGGCTGCCCTGGTTTCTCAAGAAGACAAAAAAAAACTCAAATTTGATCTTAGTCTTTAATCACCAAACTTCCCTAAGTAGCAGAGCGCATCACTACAAAACACAATATCATGGCTCTGCATGTATGACCGAACCGGGCCAAACTTTCCATGATGCTCTCATGATGTACTCTCATCTGCTCTAAGACCTCATTGACCACCATCACTCACAGCTGTTATCTGGGGCCCGCAGAAGACGCCAGCTGAAGCGCTGCTCGATCGACTCGGACCTGAAGCCGTCAGGGAGCTGCGGCCGGACGGTCGGCTGGCCGGCGCCCTCGCACGAGGCGGTGCCTGCCCGGCTGTTTGCTCAGCACGTTCACCAACTGCATGCTGATGGCGGTGCCGGCCTGCTGAGGGACTGGCAGACCCTGCAGACCGCGCAGACCCTGATCGACGAGACGCAGACCAAACTCGTAGAACAGGTCGATGGTGAGTTCTGTGATTCTAATTCATCGCTGCATTGTTCTTCGATGTTCAGGTAACCGGCAAATAATGGAGCACACATTAGCTCAGATTTAGGTACTATTGAGAACGTTGCACCACGACAGCAGCATTTTCTTTTCGGGGTACAGGATGTCCCGCAATCCTCATCACCACTAGGGGAGAGTGGGGTAATTTGGCCGGTGGTGTAAATTGGCCGCCCCCACCTGTACGAAAGCTAATAAAAGTGAATGAAATAACCTTAGTCTCTATTCATTTGTTATCGGCAGAACTAACTCGAGAACAAATATCAAAACTTTCCCACTCTTAGTTTTATTCAAAATTAATAAAAGGTGAATTTCGTTAGAAAATGGTAACTTTTACTTCCCTTTAAAAATTTGTATAACATGTAGTATTTGGGCTGTACACGAATTCCAACATTATCGCGCCATTTTTGAGGGTGTTCAGCGGTTCCAAGAGCAATTTCATCTAGTTCTGTACAGCCATGACGACTTTATAGACAAAAATTTTCAGAATGGCAATGTGGGGTTATTTGGCCGGGACTAGCGGGGCAACTTGGCCGGTGCGCTCAGAGTCACTATGCTGGGACGGCCGAGTTGTCATGGTCAATTATACCATAAAGGACATAATTTATGACCAACTTTGACTACCTTGATGCCATATTTCCTATTGGACAGCTGTAAGGTCATGTGACGTCATCAAAGGTTACCTAACGCTTTTTTGCTAATAAATACTTACAGAAAAAAGATACAGCCGCGCAAATGGTCTCATTCTGTTCAGCTCGTCAAGGCGCATCGAATGATATACATGATGACCTTGAACTCACGTAACCTTGAGGTCAAGCGACCTGAGGTAGCGTGACCTGAAGCCAACATTTGACCTTGACCTCTCGAGGTCAACACATACATATTTCGATGCGGAATGACGAGAGAATTACGATGGTACTTTTAGTTTTGGCCTAGCTTGATTACTTCAAAAGCTATTCGTAAAAAACTGTCATCGTATCTAAAGCCGCTATTTTGACTATTTTCGACCACTGTGACGGCTGAGTCAACCTCCAAAATGCTTCAAATGCGTCGTAGGACACACGTCATTGCTGAATGTGAAGCTGACTCGCCTATAACAAAAATCATGGCCTCAAACTAACACCGGCCAAATTGCCCCACACCCCCGGCCAAATAACCCTGCTAGTGGGGCAATTTGGCCGCTTTGCAGACCTTTGTAATACGTCACAATTTCAATATAAATAGTTAATCTAGCATTTCAAGTTTACTGTCCAAGAAAGTAAAATGTATGCCACACCTGTCAGCGTTGAGAAAATGCAGAAATATGTTGTCGATTTTTAGTTATATCGTTTTCTAAAAAAAGCGGCCAAATTACCCCACTCTCCCCTATATCGCACCACATGCACAGCCGAACACCTCGACGTGTGCAGTGTGCACACACCAGCAGCCCTATAGCTCACTCGCATCAGCGTGATATGCTAATCCCGTCAAAACCTGCTGTCGCCGTTATAACAACACTACTCAGATATGAGAATCAATTATCGACCGGCGAGCGGTGATTTACGACAGTTCGGATGGCAGGATAATTCTCAATGTACATACATACGTGCCCAGCAATCGGATCACAATAAAGGCTTTCTATAAAAACAATAAAGGATTTCTATTTACTGAGACATTCTTAGAAAAAAATGTCTCGGTAAATTATAACAATGATAATTAATTGATAAATACAAAAGCGTCTGTATTTGCTACCGTCCGTGGTCACTATTCCAGTTCACATTTTCTCCAATGAGTCTTATTCAGTCAGATATCTCGCCCTGATTTCGTCATCTCTCCCCACCTTCAGGTCGTATGATGCGAGTACCCCTCCCATCGCGTCTGTACCGTGCTCGTACCGCGCTGGTACCGCCTGCCTACTTTGTGGACGGGTACCGACGGGCTCGAGCGTTCATAGTGACAGAGCGCCCCGGCCCCGGGACCTCCTCTGAGGGCTTTTGGAGGCTGATTTGGGATCAGGGAGTCACCACTGCAGTCAGCATCGGCGCTTATCAGGTGAGAGTCGGTATAAGTAATCTGCCGCTGCTGATATTGTTACGTAAGGTTTATGTTGCAAACTTGTATGCTGATTGTGTTTAGTGATTCGTCAACGTTTGATTCGTTCCGAGAATCAGGTAACGTCTGTGTGATTGCAGTCTATTTACCAGCAGTATTTGGTATGTATGTACCTATAAACGATCTATCGTGTGCAATTTAATGGAATTTGCTTAAAGATGATATTAGCCGTTTTCACGACGGCCATCTGGTACACATTTGGTGCACATCTGGTACAGATCAGGTGCAGATCTGGTCAAATCAGGTTCAGTGCGTCTCTTAGTAGCTATCAGCTAGAATTGCACTAACTGCTTATATGCCTGCTTTGTCATATTATCAGAGAGCATCATCAATTAAAACACTGAAATAAATTCATAAAATAAAGATATTTGCTTGAAAAGAGATTAGGTGCAGATTTGGTCAAATTAGGTGCACTCACCGGATAGCCCGTCGTGAAAACGGCTATTGACTTCTGGAAGGGCTGCCTATATCTACTGGGTTTGTCTTCCTAGACATATCCAGCACCTGAAACGGTAACTTATCGTATTTTGAATATTGAACAATCGAGATCGAGAGGGATTTCCAGAACTTCTATGATCTCTGCCGGCACATGGCACTGGACGACGCATTTGATTGGGTTCAGTGGTCCGTAAATGCCGGTGGACCAATCAAAGCGCTCCCCACGTGCGACCGTGCCCTCAGGCGTCTGTGACGTCACGTCTGCCGCCCGAGGCGGGCCAGGCGCGACCTTGCGGTGACCTTGAGCTGCGCTGCATCGGCGACCACCTCCAGACGGGCTGTGAGGTCTCCGAGGTGGTCATCACCAAACGAAAGGTATGGCTCAGTAAGGAGTGTGGCGGCATGGGTGGATTTCTCTGTCAAATGAAATCAGAGGATATTTTAAGTCGGTGCTTCTTGCCTATGCGGCTTGCAAGCCAATGGCTGAGGTAGCGCATATGTCAGTGTATTTTACTTCAAAATCCATAGGTGTTTCCATCCGATTTGTGTGTCAGAAGCATCATTATAACTAAACTCGATGCAGCTAATAACCAACAGGTCATTACCAGTCGTCTATTCTTCTCTCGCCACCCTCCCCTCCAACAGAAAAGGAGGCACCTGCCTCATGATCTGTCCCTCTCTGCCTCCTTCACTCCCATCTCTGTACCGACAGAAGGAGAAGCGCCTGACCATGTACCAGTTTACCGACTGTACCGAGTCCGGTCTCCCAGACGATCCTCTGCCGCTACTGCAGTTAGTGCGGCGCACCCAGGCCACGGCAGAGGTCACAGCTACCGCTGCAGCTACTGCTACGGCAGCTCCACCGGTCCTGGTCGTCACAGGGTAAACTTTATGGATATGTGAACATATAAGCATGCACACCCCCGACGCATAAATAGCACAACTGTGTATTACCAACGGAGCTGCGATGCTCATTTCAAACTCGGTCGCATGCAATCCACATTTTCTTGCTCATGAAGCTGGTTTAATAGTTGGACCCAGTAGGTGAACATAATCAGTTCAAACGGATTACCTCACTTTCCTTGGGTTTCGTCGAATGTAAAAACCAAGGTCTTTTGTTTAGAGATCGGTGAACAGAATGCCGGGCCGGATTTCGGTCCACTGACGTCAAGTATTCGCTGTGCCGCACGGGTCAGTGGGATCACGGGAGCTGTACATTGGGGGTAGGTGTCGAAAGCTTTCAGAGCATTGGCACCGAGGGCACAGCACTCCCGACCGAGTGCGGAACATTCCGCAGTACTTTGTTCGAGAGGAGTTGGGCTCGCAGACCATTGCACTGAGCCAGTGTTTGAACAGTCGACCCTGAGCCGGATGGACCACCGAGCCCCTGACCGCCGATCAATGTCTGCGGACGCGGGGGGGTCGGCCGACACTTACGGCTAGATGTGCAATATTTTCAAACCTTCATGTACGCATCATATATCACCAATAATTTTGCGGCGTTCCAAGACGGACGTTTCTCTCACATTACCCGTTTGACAACAATTTTTACGTCATCACTTAACTAAAATTGCATTGACGTGTGAGAAGTGCAAAATCAGCACAGATGACCATTTGTCCGTCTGTTGCAGGCTGGACGGCCGAGGCGCCGGTCTGTACTTGGGACTGGCGACTCTACTCACCCAGCTGACTCGTAACCAAGAGCTGGCCGTTCTCTCCTATTGTCAACATATCGTAGGTCGGTCTTGGTGTGAACAGTTGACAGTGCGCTTGTAAAAAAGTAGAGTTTAGTGCATGCGCTACTGACGTCAATTATCCCTTTTTATAATTGAACGAAGTAAATATGCTTAGCGGAGCTTATGTCGGATGTCTTTTGATCTTGCAACATGTCGGTTTTGACTTATAAATTGTTGTATCATTTCTACAAGACATGACGCAGATTCGCCCATTTACTGCGAGCTTTGTCGGAAATGTGGGAGCCCTACATATTCAACAAATGTTCCATATCTCCGCAAACACAGAGAGAAGTTGTTTTTCCCCGCGAATCGCGGACGTTTCAGTGTCGTGCTGCGTTATGACACTGGACCGAGCCGTAATGGAGTCACAACCCCGGCTCACATTGCCTTTTTCCGGGGCGTCCTCTGAAAAACAGTCCGTGGCCAGGTGATAAATCTCGAGATCTCATAACAGCACGGACGGCTGGATGATTTAGGGGACCCCTCGTTATCAGCCCTGGGTTTCAACAGGCCCGGTGCTGGCTTCATCCCAACTTCCTTCCTGGGTGTTTGTCTAGACAGGACCTGTGGCTCAAGGCGATTTTTCTTCATGCTGTTGCTTCATTAATTTTTTTTTCAATTATACTATGCCATTTTATCAAGTCGTCCTTGTTTTGGGATGAGATAATAATGATGTTGCTCACTCTTATAGTTTGACTGAGGCCACCGAATTTGTACACCTTGTCTTCGAGGCTCGGCAATTTGTAACAAAAATACAAACAGCAGCACAAGAGGAAATATGTCGTTTGTCTCTTTGAGCTGTTGTAATCCGTATGGCGGCCATTGTCTGCGGTTCGGTCGAGCCACTTCAATTACCATAATGTCCTCAGGCCGGGACACGCTGGGCTTTACGTTCATGGTGGCCGTGCTTTACGGAAAATCCGGCTTTCCGGCGTACTGACCGGAACAGATTGTCATAAAATGGAACTGAATTTAAGAAAATGCATAACATTGGATCGATGTTCACGTCCAGCGCATGATTTTATGGTGTTTAAAGGTTTCATGTAACAGCGTAACAGTTGCTATGCTGCGGGCTCATGGAAGAATGAAAGTTGATGAAACACAAGAGATCATAAAACAAAACTAAAATGTACTTCATTTGGTTGTGCTACAGATGTGGGATGTGTAACTTCTCCTTTCGTAGGTGACCCATTTTGTTATCTCTTCCTATTTTTTCGTCTCTGCCACTGTTTGTGTCTCGTTGTCTCTGACTCTCTCTCTCTCTCTCTCTCTCTCTCTCTCTCTCTCTCTCTCTCTCTCTCTCTCTCTCTCTCTCTCTCTCTCTCTCTCTCTCTCCCTTCCCTCCCTCCCCCCAGGTCAGTGTCCTCGTCTCTTAGGGACACTAGAAGAGTACTCACTCCTCCACGAGTGTCTTCTGGAGCGCGTCTCGGTCGGGGAGACACTGGTGCCTCGCGACTCGGCTCAGACCTACACAGAGAGACTGCAGGGCGGCGGGAGACACAGCTTCCCCTACCCGACCGCCGAGACACAGTATAAGGTGGGTGACGGGAATTCGGGGGGTGGGGGGGGGGAGGTAAACCGATTGAATGATGAATGTGCCATATGTTGGAAATGGACGCATAAAGTTCGACGCATGCCTTTGTTGCGTATGTGTCTTATTTGTCCATCAAGTTTGATAAATATTTTATCATCTTGTTGTTTAAGGTGGAATGTAAGGATACAGCTAGGATAACGAAGCAAAATATTTTATTATGCGAATGGCCCATATTCGACATAACTCGGAAATACAGGGCCTGTATCTCCTTAAGTGTTGATATTGTTGAATGTTGATTGTGAAGATCGGCTATGCTATGCGTAGTAGCAAGAACAACAGCAACAAGCATCAGCAGTAGCGCTATAGCAGGTCGCTCTGTCTGACTAGTCTGTCGACGAGGCATTCAGCATCGTAAAACAAGCGGTGAAGCTTGCTTAGGCTAATCGTCACTGACATCAAGTGACGATGGAGTCGTTGGACACCGAAATGGCTCTTTGCGTCTTATTTATCCCTCGCCCGTATTGGTGTTTTTCCAGCCGCGAACGTATCAGGAGGGGGGGGGAGGGTCCGTTGGACCCTCCTTGTCGTTTCGCCCCTGATCAAGCTAGAGCATCGCGGAAAAAAACGAGCGTGTTGCCCGTGACGAGAGAAAGCCGATGATACCCAGTTTTAAGGTCCTATGACATTGGTTGACCTTCCAGGTCAGGTCAATGACCCAGGTCAGGTTCGACCCCCATACGAGCGAGGGTTACGACTGCAACGACGAGACATGTTGAAATGAAGGTGCAGTCAGTAAACTGATAAGCTGTCCAGTCAGCTGACTGGAATCGCTACAAGACATGGCAGCCAGCATTCACCACTGGACCGGCTCATCGTTCAAGTGAGCGTAGCCCGACAGTCCATTGTCCAGTCGTATTGTGATATGGACACTGCTGAATGTATAGGGGAGGGAACTATACGTGCCTACCCTCTATCATACGGCTGTTTACCAGGAGTTTGTATGTCGTCTGAAGGTGAATATTATAAAACTGAGCTTTTTCAACTACACGAGAAATTCCTAGGGCGGTCAAAAGTTGAGTTTCAGTCAAGGGGCAAGAGTACTCGACCCTTGACCGTGACCAGGACGGCTGGTTTAAATGTCGCCATGTTCAAATAGACCCGGCACATTGCTGGTACGTGGTGAGTGATGATGCGTATATGTGTGTTGCGACAACAGCCTGAAGCGACAGACCCAAGTGGCAAGCCACGATAATGTAGGTAAAGAGTAAAGACTGCAACGTCGTGACACAATGGAAGCACCATGGGGTACTGAATAGGAATCGTGTCGAGTTTATGCTGGCTTGTCTTTTTATCACACTACTTAGCTCATCCGGCGCGAGACCGAATTTCGCGAGTTTGTTGCATGACTACAAGGCTACATAGCGGTTAGTTACATTGCTGCCGCTAGATGTCAGTGCAGTGGGCGCCTGAAGTCATACTGTGCCGGCGAGCTCTAGGCATACATTATTCCACTGCCGCTAGATGTCACTACTATGAGCGCCTGAAGTTATGCTGTACCGCAGGTCTCCAAGCATATGTCATTCCGCTGCCGCTAGATGTCACTACTATGTGCGCCTGAAGTTATGCTGTACCGCACATCTCCAAACATATGTTATAATACCGCTGCCGCAAGATGTCACTACAGTTTGTGCCTCATGGTACCGCATGCTATGGGAACGATGCTAATAAAGTTGTTTTCCATGTTTGGAAAAGACATGTTCCCATCGCTCACCTGCTCCTCTGATCCGAGTAAGCCACGCGGTTCCGGAACTCGTCAGCTAGCGTTAACTCGCGACCTACTGGAGGGGATGGGGGGAGGGGGCGTGAGACGCCCCCAACCATTAGAGTTGTAAGAATGTTTGCTTAGGTTGGAAACGTTTCCATAGATAAATTATATCTAGAAATGCTAAATCAATAGTCAATACGATGAGCTGTTTAGCGTCATTTCAATCGCTGTTGCTCTCATGAATGGGCTAGAATTTGCCAACAAGGGCAACTCTGTTAGCCGCTATTTAATGACAGAAAAACACGACTGTGTCTATTTATTGTTTGTGCTTCACTTAGCAGATCCATCATTAATTATGTAATTACGGCAGTCCATGTAGACCTTCTTTCAAACCTTGTTGTTGATTTTCTGTTCATAAGTGGATCCAGAAAGGTGAAAACAGGCGCTTTGAGTAAAATCCATAAAACTATTTCAGAATACCTAAAGAAATCCTCCTTTTTCCCAACCTCCTAAGTAAGTGCGGAAGTCCAAAAAATTGATTACGAGCGAGCGAGCGCAGGGAGCGAAGCGAGTCTTTTCAATATAACGGAAAAATCTCAGTATGAGCGGCCCGGCCCGGCCCGGCCCGGCCTGTAACGCTTTTGAGAGGCTTATATCTCAGCAACCGCTGGACCGATTGGCCTGCGGTCTTTTTTGCTGGGTAGCCTTATCCCTTCTACCCCGTAATTGACTACTTTTGATACCTACATCTCAGTGACCGTCGTGGCACGTGCCACGTGAAAAGTCAAGGGTGTTCAAGCAGTTTTGCAAAAGTAATGATTTTGAGAGGCCCATATCTCAGGAGCGGCTTGAGCGATTGTCTTGCGGTAATTTTTATAGGGTAGCTGCATCCCTTCTACCAAAGGTCGGATACTCTTGATCTATGTGAGTGACCCCCACTGCACGTGCAAAATGCAAAAAGAAGAGGTGCCAAATTTGTTCCCATTTCAGTAACTCGGTAATTACTGGGGCGATTTCGCTGAAACTTGGCATACAGGTAGGCACCCACCAGGCAATGCATTCCCATGTGTTGCGGTTAGGGTGCTACTGCACGTGCGCACGTGCAGGGGGCGTTTCCAGATCTCGAGAACGGCTGGGCCGATTGCGCTCAAATTTGGTACAGGGTTGGAGACAGGTTAGTAGGGTGCCGTGCAAAAGTCATTTTGGACCCCGTTTGCACGTGCACACGTGCATAATGCCTCTTCCAGATCTCAGGAACGGCTGGGCCGATTGCGTTCAAATTTGGCACACCGCTAGCGACCGGTTAGAAGGGTGCTTTGCACAAGCCCATTGGAAGTACCCTCTCGCCCTTCCGCACGTGCAGGGCTCACTATCTCGCTCGCTCGTTCTTCGCCCAAAAGGCGTTTTACTGGTTAAAATGTAATTTATTCTTAGGCATGTGAGAGAGAAAAAAAAACGGCACACTCCCGGGGAATTTCGGGCGGTGCGTGGACGCATTTTTCCCTAGCACACCTTTATTATACTTGTAGATCCACCATTGCGCTCGTTGGCTGTTTATTCAAACTCCCTCCCGTCGCATCCCCTTCAGAGCGTGATAGCGCTGGGCGCGCGTCACTTCACGGTCGTCTCGGCAGCCAAGCCGTGTAACGAGGCCAAGAACCGCAGTCTCAGCTTCATCCCGATGGAGCCATCCCGGGTGCTGCTGCCCGGGGACGCTGCGCTGGAGGGCGCCAGCTACATCAACGCCTCCTGGCTGCCAGGTGAGCATGTCGGGGAGTCGTCCAGGGAGTTGGGGACGTGAACATGCGTAATACGGCGCTGGATGTGGTCTTTTTTTTAGTGGCAGCCATTTTCGTGTTACATGTAGGCGGTGCTCTTTAGTTGTCGACTCACGACTATGTGTAGCTCTATGAAGCAACAGGAGCGAGTCGAGATAGCGGCGATGAAAACTTGTTGCTCTTCGTACTGAAATGGATCCCTTCTGAGCCACAATAAAGTAGAAGTACAAGTGGACAAAGAAAATCAGATCAGTCACAAATTGGCAATCAAAGGCACTGTCAATGTTTGTGCCACTAAACCTATGTGATGTGCGCTACTCGAGAGTCGAGCTTTAAAATGCTTTAACATTTTCTCGCGGAAGGACAGATCATCGGTGCCGTTCTCAGAGAAGATGTGACTGATTGATCACGAAATCGTAGAAAATCGCATAATGCGTGCATTTTATTATCATCGACGGTTTGATTGATCATCAAGTGTTTCGTATACCGCAAGTAGCCTCGATAGTCGACACATGCAAACGCGACTCGCTTGCGTTCCATGGAAACTATGCAGAAGTGCTATACGGAAGTTTTCAACACCCAGGGCCCTCAAACAACCCTACAGATCGCAGCTTATGAAAATTTTGCTTTTAGTCGCTGCTCAACTATTCATCGACGAACCTCGTGCTAACAGCAAAGTGTGTTGTACAAATACTCAGCAGGATTGTGCGATGGTAACCACTCACGTTATCCCCTCATGAATTCAGCGGCCGTATGTATGCGGTTGGAAGTGCTGGCCATAGTGTTCTGAGCAGCAGGGATCAGCTGAGCTTTTAGTATCGTTAACGGACTATGTAGCTCGCTATAAAGCTCTTGCCGCTAAACATACCAGATAAAAACGCAGGACTTGAAGCATTTGGCCAAGAATCTGCTAACAGTGCCTATGCAAATTGCAAACCTTGTTTTTTATTCGTTTCGCGCATGAATGTTTTCGTTGTATTTGATAAATTCCCTTATTTTATGAATGTTGAATAGGGTTGGCGATTAGCGAGACTTGGATCGTCATGGTAAATGCCTAAAATCGTGACAACTCAATCGTCTCCTATACTGGCCAGCTGCGTCACTCTGAATCGGAATATCATCGCATCGGTGGCGACAAAAAGCACATATCACCAACGATCTTTTCGCAGGCTTATGCGAATGCATTGTCGCATCAAGACGACACTACTTTGCGCTTTCTGCGAAACTGTCAACAAGTGCCACCGCCAAGTGCCCGCCGATGGTATGGCTGATCTAGTTACGAACAAAAGTTTCCGTGTGTTTCCAGGCTACCGAGTGATGCGGGAATACATCCTGACTCAGCACCCGCTGCCCAGCACTGTGATCGACTTCTGGCAGATGGTGTGGCACTACCGAATCACGACCGTGGCCTGCCTCTCTCCGGAGGTAAATTAATATACACAATGTACGTACATTGTACATACCGTGCAGTGCATATTTAATGACCCGTTTGTGTCCCGATTGTAAATACAGGATGTCTCAATAAGGTATGCAGTATTTAGGACACACCCTGCTGGGTATACAGTTAGCAACACAATGATGCTCCACTCCTCATAATCTATCAGTTGGCTTTGGCTGGAACGTTAAGTTGTACCGTTTATCACGCAACTAAGCGTGGCAATTGTGAACTGAACTCAGTTCCTGTGATGAGGCACAGCCTACCACTCCAGCCAACTATTTAACTGCTTGCTTAAAGTGGCGCGTCAATGCACAGAGGCAGATGTAAGCACTCATCATCGCCGTTTCTCTGTGCTTTCACTAGGGCTGCGGCGTGTTCTGGCCCTCCGAAGAGGAGGTCATTCGGGGGTCCAACTTCGTCGTACGCTACATGTCCGAGAGCGCCGATTGCAGCGCCACCTACAAGACGTCCTGGGTGATCCGCTCGTTCCTGCTGCAGTCCACTGTGGTGAGGTGGCGCTAGTGTCGCACCATGCACCATCCGTGGCGCTAGTCTAGAGCAGGACTGCGCCGATGAGGGCGACTGAATGTGGGGACGTCCGAACTCCGAGGGTCATTAAGATCGACCAGCAGCCCGTGATGATTGCTGTGCGTATAGCCAGGGGTGACGGTGTTTGGACAGGCTCATTTGGCCGACGTCTCTATTGTGGGACGGGACAATTACCGTAGAAACCCGACTCCGGGTCCCCCAATGGTCAATTCTCCGTGCCCGGTGAGAGTGCGAGCGACTGAGTCACTCGGTAAACTGCCCGAGGTGCCTGATTACACTCCAGTGTCATTATACCCCTCAAGAGAGCTATGTATTCTTAGCATGAAACTATTGATGTAACGCAAGTGTCAGCAAACTCCAAACGCATCGATTCTCCCATTGGCTCAGCCTACCGTTAAACACGCCCGGGCCCTGTTTCACGGCGGAGCGCTGCAGTGCGCTGCGCGCGTCGGCGCGTTGGGTTTCCATGGCAATATCAACAAACTTCCCTCTGACGCTACGCTATGACGTCATCGCAAAACGCTAGCACCGCAGCGCCAGCACCATCCGCACGCTAGCAGTATTCGCACTCAAACTTCTGTTCAATTGGTACTAGGTTCTTCAAGGTCTCTGTTCGAAACGCGATTTACCATAAGCTAACGGATCGTACGCAACGTCATTCCAGTGACGTCAGGGGTATGCCTCGCCTCAGCTCCCAGCGCGCTGCAGCGCGCGCAGCGTCGGGCGGTGAAACAGGGCCCTGGTGTCGTTCCCCGCTGACGGACCCCTCTGTGACGTCACAGGGTACCACTGATGACGTCACGGCCCGGGTGGTGCACCTGCCACTGTGGCCGGAGGAGTGCTCGCTGGACTCGGTGATGGAGGGGGTCGTCGGAGTGCGGAACATCCAGGGCGACCGGCTGAACCCGCTCGTGGTCGTCGATAAGTAGGTGTCGTGGGATTATGCTGCTCCTAAATCGTTGAAATCGTATAGAAATACGATGAAATACTGTGAACTACCTACCTAATATTTACCGTGTTTTCTCACCTTTTTGTGTTTACATTGTAAAAAAGCATTTCAACGTGCTTACATAGTGCCACCTGAATATCCATTTCTCGAATATGTCACAGATCAAGTGTGCCATCCAGCATCCTGTTAACGGCGCCAGCCGCCAAGCCTCGCTCGTACCTCTGATGCATGTTCTTTTGGGCATCTCATCCCTTATCTCAGCTTCCTCTTTTCTCACCCATTTGGATCGCGCTCAGCTTAGTATTCTGTAAGCGATTTCGGCCTTTTTGTCCATTTCTTGGTCGTCGGAAAATTTATTCGTGGATAAGACAAGAGCTATCCGAAATTCACTTGGTTGTCGAGGCTGCACAATCGCCATCAGCATTACAATGTGGACGCTCGCGGGCTGAAGAGCCAACCGATCCTGTATTGTACGTCAGCTGCTGTCCATAAAAGGCGTCCACTGAACATCATATGCTTAGCCGTCCTAACAAACCTTGGCGGGAGGGTGCAGCAATGTATGGGGTTTTATTTATAGACGATTCTTGTCATCGGAACAGGTGAGACAGTAATAGACCGCGCCGAAAAACACTACGAAAAGCAAAATAACGACTCACTTGCACATGGTTATTTATCACATATTTTTATTGACCATCTTGCACACTGCACAGGCCTAATGACATTGATAACGGCATTTATCACTGTTAGAGAAAACAGGAATTTTTAGGCAAAGCAGATCCTTCACACGTTTACACTTAGCCATCAGATATCAATTCGAACTGCGGACCAATTTATGCCCGTAATACGTTTGGCCCAAGCTCCTACCGACCGCTGTGTTCGTTCGTGTTCTGTTCACAGGTACGGGGGTACCGAGGGAGCCAGCTTTTGCTTACTGAGCACTGTACTGCGGCAACTTGAACAGGAAGCCAGCTTCGACATATTCACATTCGCCAAGCTCTACCACCAGCGGCGACCGGGAATCTGGAAAAACATGGTAATGATAAGCTGGGATGTGAATGGGTCTCCAAGGTATAGCTGAATGGAATACTGATAGTGTGTGTATATCTGCACTAGTCTCTAAAGCTGTCGTATCTCGCTCCACTGTTTTGTAATATACTCGGTATCTAGGGCGATAGTGGTCATTAGATTAGCTCAGTATGTTTGGTCTAGCTGAGGCTACGAAACATTTGTGTGATATTATTTTAAATTGATTTGATCTAAAGCGAGCAGAATAAAAACGGTGACAGCACTAATGGTTCAATGTAAGTTTGTTGTAAGCATTGACCTGGCGGCCATTTTACGCACCGCCAACTACAATTGTTATACCAGAGTTATTTCTGACCATTTCCCGGCGTCTCATTCACAGCGTGAGTACCTGTACCTGTACCACGCGGTACAGGAGTGGCTGACCTCGCGGGGTCACGGTACTCTGCGGAGAGCCGGCTCCTGCACCAGTCTCTGTGAGAACCGCACCCCGACAGAGGTCAGCGTCACTGGTCTGCACGGCGTCATGGTCTGAATGGGGGACGTCACATACGGCGTCATTGTGTGATGTGAAAGTGATACGTCATGTGTGACGTCATGGTCTGATGTGTAACGTTATATACACCGTCATAAAATGATGTTTTACATCATATGATCATATATGGCGTCGCGGTATTATGTGTGACGCCATATACGGCGTCATAATATGATGTGTGACGACGTCATATGAAGCGTCATGTATGACGTCATATACGATGTCGTGGGCTGATGTGTGATCCTTGTATGCCGCAATGTATGATGCCATGTATGACGTGATGTATGACCACATGGTATGATGTGTGACGTCACATACGTCGTCACGGCCTGATGTGAGTCGTCGCATATGGTGCCATGCTCTTCTCCGTGACGTCACTTAGGCAGATTGTTGTTTGATGTGTGACATCATGGTGACAGGTGACGTCTGCCACGGTGTATCATGACGCTATTGTCAAGCTTGTGAATGGAGGTGATCGGTGATGCACTAGCGCAGTGACTGAAACCGATGTTTGACGGAACTGTGCGATCATTCAGTTGGCTAGTGTCGTGATGTTATGAACGATCATGTGATGTGACTGTAGTATGATAGGTAAAGTGACATGAAATGAGGGATGTCGACACTAAATACGTTGCTACCCAGCACCCACATTGCAAGAAAGAGAGGACAACTCTCATTTTAAGGTTTGTGAAGCATACGCGTGACAAAAGAGACGCTCGATAAGTTAAACCCGCATGTGGAAGGTGTGTTTTAATCGTAGCACATGGAGATGAGATGAGGTGCTTTCTTGAGATGAGGTCACCTAATGTGACATGGTAATATGACCTCAGGTGACCTAGGTGACGTCTTCTCTGCACAAATGCAGAGAAGATGTGTGAAAAGGTGAGCCAAAAAAGAAAAAGCAGACGAATTAAACGCCCCATTCCCTTTCCCGCCACGTCGAAGCTAAAAAGTCAACCGATGAAGTGAGATAAACATCTTCACGGCTACGTTTGTAGTCATTATCTTGATTATGTCATTATGCAGTGGCAATTTCAACTTTTGATGACCTTCCCGTTTTCCATTTAGTTCCGTATTAGGGTTGTGAATTGTGATGAGAGAGAGAAGTCTGACAATGTAGAGCATCGCGCAAGCGAAGTGTGTTATTTCTTATGACGTATTCGTGATGATATCCTGTATCCTGTATGACAAAGGCTTGCTGCTGCATATAAAATCGCTTTTTGTGTAATGAGAGGCTTATCTCTTCATGTTGTAACACATTACAATGAGGTCGGAATATACCAGACGAATTCGTTAAATTACCGTGGTGTTGTATTCTGCGTATATATGCTGATAAAATATACATATTGTATCAAAGCGAGGGCATACGTACATGTCGAGATCAAGGTATATAAACACTGTCAAGATAAACTTCAGACAATCGGTCTCGCTATGCCTCTGTCTCTGCCGTAGGCCACAGACGGCCCCCAAGGCATGTCTGCCGGATTCTTTTTCTCCCGGCCATCCAACACCCGCTAAGCCCCCCGACTTGGTATCCTGTTATCAAACAAACCTTGTTGGGCTGCGCCGGAATTAGGTGCTGACATTCACCGACAAACAAGATTAATGTGTTTAATGATAGAGCGCAGTGGTTAATGAACCCGACGGCCCGAAAACAAGGCTCAAAGGAGACTCAGGCAGAGATAGAGGAAACCACGGTAGGATTTCACACGGGAACAGATCGACGCTCGGCCCGAGATGACGGAATAAGTCCGCCTGAAGTGCAGACATGCTTGGCGCTAATGCGTTCGGTGCTCAATTAAACACCCGCAGATTGCTGTCCTAAGTACACGGTAGGGTGCTGAGTAGAGTAGCACTTTTAACACGCGCAGTGGAAGGGGGGGGCGGATTTCGCCCACCCCTCCTGTTTTTCGCCAATAACTCGCGCCGCAAGCATAATATCAATGTGAAATTTCGGCTACCTGTCCAGAATTGAATTGCGGATCTTCTCGTGCAAGAAGTAAGAAAATCGGTTCACAACTTTTCTAGTAATAGCGGTGTAAAGTCAAACATTCTGCGGCCGCGGCGGCGCGGCGGCGCGGCGGCAGGCGCTAGCCGTTACGCGCCGCCTGAATTGTAGACTGTGCCGGGGCGGGACGGTTCCGTCTTTACATCGCGCTCCTTACCGCTGATTATATTAGATTCGCGTCAAATTCGGTGAGAAGACTGAGAAATGTACAGGCAATCATATGGTCAAAGAATTTTGAAAATCGGCCGGTAACAACTTGAGTTATGAGTGTGTAAACACAAAATTGTGATTGCCGCGTTTCCCGCGTCGGCCGACGCCGCTTCAGCCGGCGACATCTTACCCTTAGCAGGCTTCTAACTGCCACATTTATTGTTGGATTATCTAGAAATTCACCATACATACTCACAAATGTTTGCTCTTTCGTATAGTGAAAGTTTTTAAAAAATCGGCCGGTAACTTTTTGAGTTATCGGCGTGTAAACGCAAAAAAGTCGCTAATATGGCAGATTTGACCACATTTGACCTCATTTGACCTTGAAGATATTGACCTAGGGTCATGAAATTCACACACAACAGAGTTCCCCATGGCCCCCACCTACCCTCCAAATTTCGTCTTTCTAGCTCCAGTGGGAGCTGAGATCTTAGGGGGGGCGACATCCGCCCCCCCTTCCACTGGGCGTAGTACTCGCAACCCTTCCACTGCGCGTGTTAACACGCGCACCGACGGGGGGGGGGGCGGATATCCGCCCCCCCCTGAGGTTTTTCGCGAATAGCGGGAAAACCTAGCCGCGAAATTTGGTACGACTATTTTCTCATCAATTTTACACATGGTGTGCAAGTTTGAACCTCCTAACTTTTAAGGTCAGGTCACCAGGTCACTTTGAATGACCCAACCTCAAGTCACTTTTTTGCAACTTTGTCACCGTGCCAGAGCTACAGTAGATGTCGGAGGCCTTTGAAAGTCGCAGGATATTATAAGGTCATTAGTAGCTACAATTTGTTTATCTCGGAAGTTTGATATCGATGACCTAAGGTCAGGTCAATTTCTCGACCTCCCCATTATAAGTCAATGGGGGAAAAATCAACTCCCTGTTTTTACCACTAAAACGGGTCGGAATGGCCCCATAAACCATAAATGACCATTGACCTCATATACGATCAACCTTCACTACCTTGAGGTCTGTTTTGCTGTTGGGCAGCTGTAAGGTCATGTGACGTCATCAAAGGTCACCAGCGGTTTTTTGACAATAACTCCGTACAGGAACAAGATACAGCCGCGCGGATGGTCTCATTGTGTTCAGCTCGTCAAGGCGCATCGAATGATATACATGATGACCTCGAGGTCACGTGACCTGAGGTCAACCTTTGACCTTGACTTTTCGAGGTCAACATATATATCATTCGATGCGGATTGACGAGAGGATCACGATGCTGTCCTTAGTTTGTTCCTATATTGACTAGTTCGAAAGTTATTCGAGAAAAACTCTCTCCATACCTAGCGCCGCCATTTTGACTTTTTTGACCCCTGTGACGTCATCTTTGACCTGACCTGAAAATGACCTTAGTAAAAATTGTAGACCTTGTCCGTGCGTATCCCTTGCCGTTTACCGCTTGTCGCTATCTTGCTTCGTTCTCGAGATCTCAGGGGGGGGGGGCGGTCATCCGCCCTCCCCCCGTCGCACAGTGGGGATTTTTCCGATCTAGCGCCTCTTAATTCCAAAAATCTTTTTTGGATTTTTGTTTATTTTTTTTGTGTCAGTGGGGCTAAGAAATGTCTGAATTTTTCATATATGGCATTGTTTTATCAGTATGTCCACAGCAAAACTAGGAAAAATGCGCCCAAAGTTCACACTCATGCGTGATTAGGTACTCAATGGGCTCAGCAAGGTCCGAAAGTATAGCTCAATTTCATTGTCCTGTCCTGTTGGTTTTAATCTTGCGAGGTCTTAAAGTTGCATATCTTCTGAAAGGCACCTTTATTAGGAATGGAATGACAAACAGAAAGTATACCACAACCCTACTAAGGTCACAAAAATGCCATTTACAAAAAACCCTTACAGACACCACATTGAAGGAATGGTATTCTAAATAAATGTAGGAAATCAACAATGTTCTCCACACTTTTCCACTCCGAAATATATCTTATCGAATTCGCCACTTTCTCCTGCACAAGACAACGCCTAGTTTGGCTGCCGAAACTTGCCTGAACACGGAATATTCACATTAGAGTATCTTAACACCCCACTCTAGGAGCGCTAAGGCAAACAGCACGATATAGGTATGTTCCGGACATAGGCGAATAATTTTACTTCGTGATTTATATGATGCATATTTTCTGAGACACATTCATTAGGAATAGGATGACAAGCGTAAATTATACATACCGTAACCTTATTAACCCTCGCACTTGTGGGGAGGGGGAGGGGGAGTGGAAGGGGTCGGATAAAACCCCATGGTTTTCCGCAAATTACTCGCGCAAAAAGCGGCCGATCGCGACGAAACTTTCGGTGCCCTCGAGATCATCAATTTTACATCTAACCTAAAAATTTCATGACTCTGACCCAACTGACCTTTGACCTGTGGCATATTTCTCGAGACCTTGTTTGGCCGGAATCGCGATCCGGCGTATGCCAGCTCACATTATCCGCGGTTTCCAGTCTTCTTGTGGTTTTAAACGCTCAAATATGTGAAATGATGTTGGTGCAATGCATTATGGTGGGTGTCAAGGTCACGTGAAGGTCAAGTCAAGGTCATTGACCTTTTGATGACCTTGGTTCACTTTTTCGAGTTTTACTTGTTTCTAGGGTAGTTGTTGGTGCTGATTTCGAATTTAGCAGCCATTTGAATATTTACGAAGTAGTTCTGGTGCCTTCGTACCATGTTACGAAGCTATCAGTAGTAGGTGACACCTACTATGGATGGCCGGCAGGACGCCTACTGGTTGATCTAACCTGACCTGACCCGACCTGGCCTAAATGCATAAAGACATCGTCTGTGATCAAAACTAACATGAAATTCGTGATCAGCACCCCAAAATACCCCGTAACACCCTAACATTGCGAAGTTTCAAGAGGTCTCGATTTCCCAACTTTAGTTGGGTCATTAAACTGACTTGGAAAGTCAACTAATGACCTTGGACTTTGAAATTTGATATATTAGGCCTCATTTCGTTATAGGCAGCACGCTTGATTTTTCCGCGAAGCTCTAGCTTGATCAGGGGCCAAACGGCTGAGCCGGGGGTCCAATTGAACCCCCTATACTATGTTGATTATGCACATTTACAGGTAAAATTCTCACCAGGACACACCAGCCAACATCTGTGCACAATCTGGCTACAATGCTACCTATGGTTTGCCCTCTACGAATAAAGACGTGCTAGATCGGAAAAATCCCCACTGTGCGTCGGTACGAAGTTGGAGCAGACCCCCGTCGGTGCGCGGGTTAATCACAACGGACTGATTGTTCATGCTTTTAGCAAAACACCGGACACCCACACTTCAAATGCGCAAGGTCAGGTCACATGTGTGCAATAAAAATATCTTAGCAATTATATTGGCTAGATAAATCTTGCAACAGACCGCCAGCTCCTTTTCGGGTTTTCCTGATCAAACGTCAACCAAGTGTTCTTGAGAAGTACATGAGTACATACAAGGTAGTTGCTTCATTTGTACTGTTATCTCATTAAACAACCTAAGAAAAAATGTTTAAAAG